AGGAGACACGGGGCCAGAGGTTGAGCTGATGTGCAGCGTACCGGACCGCAAACGGCCACAGAAAATGGGGGGCAGCCGCATGGATCATGGAGGTACGAACGACCTCCATGACCAAGCCAATGCGGCACTGAGCAACCCCATTCTGCTGCGGAGAGGCCGGAAGCATGAAAGTCTGACGGATGCCGTGCTCCGCACAGAAGGCCGCCAAGAGGTTTGAGGAGAACTCACCACCTCTGTCAGAGTGCAGACGGAGGACAGGAAATTCCGACTGGAACCGCTCGCGGAGTTGGAGACGAGCAGCGCGGATCCCTGGGATCAAAACATCACGGACATCCCCTTGCGGTGCAAGGGGAAGACCGTGGTGTAACGCGTTTAGTCGTCGACAACCAGTAGGAAGTACCGCTCGTGGCCCTGTCCACGGACGCCGGCTGGGCCCCACACTTCCAGGTGGAGAGTCTGCAGGGGAGCCTCTGTGGGAGGGAACGAGGAGGAGTGAGGAGCGGCGCGCTGCCGCCCCTCGACGCAAGGAATGCAGGGCGGCGCAGGCGAGGGAGGGAGGGCAGGCAGAGACCTGGGTAGACCAGAGACAAGGAAGCGAGAGTGCATGCTACGCAGGCGAGGTAGGGAGGGGTGACTAAGGCGGTGGTGCCACAGGAGAGTGTCGTGCGACAGCCGGCGACACTCACACTGGGCAGGTACGTGAGCAGACGCGTGTAACTGGGGAGACAAAGGGGCAGAGCGTGACGCAGTGGTGAGGGTGTACAGACTGGACCCTGGCGCACGAGTAAACGTGGCCAGGGGGCGGTTGGTTTCGGAGCACGTGCAAATCGCCACACGCTGCCGGCCAGGGGAGAAGGTGTCAACCCCCGCATCCTGGAGGACAGCGTTGCTCACCAAGTTCGTAGAGAATGAGGGGAGGTGGAGACCAGACAGCTCGCCAGACGGGACCGCCGGACACGGAAGCACGGTGGAGGACCGTGCAAGCACTGGGCCCCCAGAGGGGTCAGCCAGTGAGACAGGAACAGGTGCAGGAAGGGGAGTGACTCTGGTACTGTCGCGAAAGAAACAGCGGGAAGCACCAGAGTCAAGTGTAAAAGTGTGCAAGGCCTATGCAGGCGCAGTACCAGGGGGAGCAGACTCACAAGCACCTAGTGCAGCACGCGCTATACTAGGGACTATACCATGATCCGGCAACACACACAAGTAGCAGTCACCCTCAGCACTAACAGACAATGCATACATAGCAGCAAGAATAGCCTCATAATCATGATCAAAGATAGGTACATCACACCTAAGTAGCTCTGCCCAGTTGGGGAACTCAGGAGCACCAGGAAACTTGGCGCGCCAAGCGTCGCTAAGTCGAGCGAAGCAGCGCTGCTCAGTGTGATAACCTGTGCACTGGCGACCAGTGCGGGGACCTGTGCGAATGATATAGGGGCAGCGACCAGGACCCCCAGAAGCCCCACGCTCGGCATATCAGTCAAGAAGCTGCTAGGAAGTGGGGGTCTGGCGCTGCTGTTGCTGCTGCGGCTGCTGCTGGCCCTGACCACCACTACCACCACCGCTCCCTCCTCCCCCACCGCCGCTGCTACCCCCTCCACCGCTCCCAGTGCCTCCGCAGCCCCCACCACCACCTCCACCGCCTCCACCCCCACGACCACCCCCACCACCTCCACCTCCCCTGCCGCCTGCACTACTGCCACCTCCACCGCCACCCCCACCGCCCCTGCCACCCTTGCCGCCCCTGCCGCTGCGAAGCTTCCCACTAGGAGCGGAAGCAGCTCCGACCTCCTCAGCACCAAGGTAGTCGTGAGCAGCAGCTGCGGAGGCGTAGGAGGGGGTGAGAGGGGAGGGGGAGCACCCCTCAAAGAGGGGAGAGCGAGGAGTGCCACGAGCAGCACCTACCGCGAGGATGTTCTTTTTTGCTGCGAGGAGGTGCTTCTCGAAGTCGTCGACAGTGAGAGTGGGGGGGTCTAGCGCGAGGAAGTGGTCCCTGACTGAGCTAAGAGTGTCAGGGAAGCGGGTGACGATGAAATAGAGAGTGAAGTACATCGAGGTGGGGGGGGTTAGCGGCGCAGAACTCGGCTGAAAGGGCGGCACGAAAGCGAGTGTCAGTAGCGCGCAGGTGGGAAATGAGGTCCTCAGCAGTGGTGAACGAGGAAAGGTCGGGGAACAGGTAGGGTAGCATGAGCCGACCTATGGCTGCAGTGGCCAGGGAGGAGTAGCGCGCAACTACAGCGTCATACAGCTTCTTAGCAGTTTTGTGCTGGCTGAAATGCGCGCGCTCAGTAATCAGCAGATGGTTCCTAATAGCTAGGCGTGCAGCAGCATCACGAGTTTGCCATTGCGAGCGTTCGAGAGCAGGAGCATCGGCAGCAGGAGCAACGGCAGTGCCAGACACGTAATCGAACAGTGAAACACCATCTTTGGCATCGGTCAGAAGGAACAGTTGGAGATCATCTAACCACACACTGAACTCTATGGGGCGACCGTCAGGCTCGAACGCGAGAACGTTAGGCGTCGTCATAATGGCAGCAGGCAGAGGCAGGAGGCAGCAGACAAGAGGCAGCAGGCACCAGGCCACAAGCAAAGACCGAGGTAGCAGGCAGCAGGCAGGAGACAGCAGGCAGCAGGCAGGAGACAGCAGGCAGCAGGCAGCAGGCAGGAGCGGCCGCACGCGAGCTCCTAAGGCAGCGCGCTAAGCAGCTGCGGGCCGCGCAGGCGGCCGACGCGACGCGCGACGCAGCGGCGGGCCGCGCTGGCAACAGACGCGGCACGCGGGGCGACGACGGGCTGCACACGACGGCGAGCTGCGTGCGGCGTCGGGCTGCGCGGGCTCTACGCGGGCTGCGCAGGCAACGGGGGCCGGCGCGCGGCGCTACAGCAGTGGCGCGCGCTAAAAACAGTGGCGCGCGCGCTAGTAGACGAGGCGCGCGCGAAAAAAAGTGACGCGCGCTGCAGCCGAGGCGCGCGCGGGCAGTAGGCAAGGCAGGCAGTTAGGTGGGCCCGATTCCTAGGTCTTAGAGACCTCCTGCTCTAGTTACCATGTTAAGAACTAAGGCAAGAGTGAGTGGATTAGGTAGAGATTAGGGTACAAGACTAAAGTGTCGAGGTTGTTTTTGTACCCTCTAAGGCTAACCCCACTCCAGGTTGGACCCCTCGAAAGGATCCTAGGCGACGACGACCACGACAATATCGACACAGAAATAGTACATACCAGTTTAGACCTCCTTTTTTGCTCTCTAACTCGATCTTCTGGCAGTCTGCTCTGTGACAAATCTAAGAGCAACTCGGCGATACCGATTCCTACTGTCACAACTGCACCTCCAGACTCGATAACCGACACGGCCATGTCCTGCACGGAGCCGGTGCCTATTCCACCGTCGAATCGCGCCGCTGCCGCACCGGCATCGATACCGATCCCATTGTCAACTCATCCCGAGGCGGGACCGGCCATTCAAACAACTACACCGTCAACTCACCCCATCGCCATCCCATCATCTCTCCCAGTTCCACCGTCAGCACAACCCGGCGCTAGCACGGCTTCTATCCCAGTTCCTCCAGCACCACCTTCTCGCATGCCTTTTCCACCAACAAGTCCCCCATCGACGTCTTCTGCATCTCGCTACAAGTAGATGAAGAGTGAGCACGGCTTCCACAGGGGGCCTCACCGCCATGCTCAAGACCAAGGACTGGCAAGAGCATTACCCTAACCTGGTGCGGCACTGGATGGCGGTGGCGGTCTTGCCGCTGACTACCGTTGAGTGCGAGCGGGGTTTCTCGCGCTAGAACATCATCAAGTCCTGGCAACGAGGGAGCCTAAAGGACGCTCGGCTCGGCGATTTGCTCTGCATGTCCTTGCTCAAGTACGAGCCCAACTGGGACGATATCGTGGATACATGGCGGAACTACAAGAAAAGAAAGCCGTTCAATGCATGCACCCTAGCCAGGCAGGAGGATAATAGGAGGCGGAGGGGGAAGGAGGAGGTAGAGGCTGGAGGAGGACACCAGGCCAACCCGCTTGACTTGGATGATGATGCTAAGGCGGATAGTGATGCTGAGGACTATGTGTGGTATTAGGCGTAGCTAGGTTGAATCCTTGTATAATTGAATGCATGCTGCAATGCAAACAAACAAAGCAATATTCTTAAAACACTGGTTGAATGATCAAAATGTTTTTTTATCCGTACCAACAATGATGTGAGAGTTGTTCTTATAACAATCACACTGATTTTTCAGAGTTTTTTTTGTATCCGACCCTGACAGAAAGTTTTTTTCCAGGGACCAACATTGACGAATCAGGGTACCCCAAAACCAATATGAGGGCCTGATGGATAGTCTATGTCGTTTCTCATTCCTTTGTCTCTCCTATATAAACCCTATGTATGCATGCTTTTATTATGTCAGTAGATTACATTCACTCTGGCCTGAGGTTAATACTTCCGCTGCAACATCTCAAACCTAACTTCCGCTAAGTCCTGTGTATGATTGTAACAAAACCTAAAGATACCCACTACAGCACGCAAGGCATGCAGCCTCACTAACGCCAAGGTAGCTGCTGCAAACCTCTTCAGCAAAACCGGTAAACGTGTCGTTCGCTGGACATGCAGTACCATCGAGTTATGGATATATAACATCTGCCAAGAGAGGCATACTTGCTTGACTCTGCAGCGAGAGAGGGATCGCTAGAAAACCATAAAATTGTTCTATAAGATTTTAGAAAAGGAGAAAAAAAACATTGAACTTAGGGAAGCCAGTATACCAGTGTAGCACCACCTATTCCGATTGCCACCGGTTCCACCAGGCTTCTTTTTTGGCACCATCCTCCTTAGAACTGCCGAACGTGGTAGACATGGTGGATGCAACGTTTTTTGACACCTTCCGTGACACCTTGATCATGGAGGCCAGTGCGTTGCGGTCCAGTGTTGACTTCTTCATCTTCTTTTCCCTCTTCTGCTCACGGAGCCAAGCATACAATGAACAAATGTAGGGGAAACAAATCAGGCTGTTGGTGGACTGATGAGAAGGCAGAAATATTGAAGGGTGGGTGCAAGAGGGTGCAGATTGGAAGGTGGGTGAAGGAAGGAGCACACTGGATGGTGGGTGAAGGAAGGAGCACACTGGATGGTGGGTGAACGAGCGAGCACATTGCATCCAAACACACACTCAAGTCCGCCCCTCTCACCTTGAACTCCATAAGCGATGCTTTCGTAAACCCGCCTGCCTCACCCGAGCCCGCTTTCAACATGAACGTCCCGAACGCCTCTGACAACTCAGTGTTGTCCCGGTACAGAAACCGCACAAACCCCAAATCCCCCTTCTCTCACCTTGAATTCCATAAGCGACGCTTCCGTGAATCCGCCAGCCTCATCCGTGCCTGCTTTCGACATGAACGTCCCAAACGCCTCCGACAGCTCCGTGTTGTCCCGATACAGGAACCGCACAAACCCCAGCCGCAGCTGCTGCAGCAGCGGCACATCCCCAGGGTAGAAGAACGGGTGCGCGAGCGCTCCCGCGGCCGAAATCCGCCGCCCGGGCTTCACGTTGACGAGGGCTTGCAGGAGGGACCAGCCGTGGCCGCCGTCAGCGTCGAGCATGGCGAAGGCTTTGAGCTGCGCGTCGCTGAGTGCGCGGCCTTCCTGCACCCCGCGCCACTTGGCGAGATCGTACTCGCAGCGCTTCAGCTGGCGGTTGAACTGGATCAGGGGACTGTCCGTGCGGAGGTTGGGGAAGACCTGGGGAGGGGGAAGAGGCGGGACAGGGAGAGTGGTTAGGATGGGAGGGGAGGGAAGGGAGTAGATGAGCTGGCGGTTGAACTGGATTAGTGGGCTGTCGGTTCGGAGGTTGGGGAAGTCCTGAGAGAGAGGAGGAATGGGAGGGGGAGGGGGAGGGGGAGGGGGAGGGGGAGGGGGAGGGGGAGGGGGAGGTGCAGGGGGAGGGGGAGGGGGGGGATGGAGGGAACGGGATAGGAGTGGAGGGGAGGGAGTAGATGAGCTGGTGGTTGAACTGAACGAGAGGACTGTCAGTGCCGAGGTTGGGGAAGACCTGGGGAAGGGGGAGCGGGGAGGGGATGGAATGATGCAATGACATGATGGGATGATGGGATGATGGGAGAAGTACAGACGACATGAGGGGGGAGGGACAGGAAAATACGGGCGGAAGGGAAGGGAGAAAATGAGTTGGTGGTTGATCTGAATGAAGGGACTGTTTGTGCGTAGATTGGTAAAGACGTAACAAGCAATGACTCCCAGCCCCGTTATAGCACGCACCATTTGAAGGAAGATAATTCCCACACTGTACATGTCGAAACGGTCAGGGAGGTTCATCTGCAGGGGAGAGGAAGAGTGAGGAAGGACAGGGAGTGAGATTGAAGGGCAAGGACACAGATTTTTGGTTGGGGTGTTGTTGATGCAGGTACACGACACACCCACGCACATGCCCTGCCCAACGAGGTGAATTTTGAGTCGACCCACACGCCCACCTTGGGTATTGTTAATGCAGGCACACATAGTCAGACACACCCACGCACACGCCCAACCACAAGTGCATGCGCTCACGATCACACACCCCACTCACAATCAAAACCCCCACTGGCAACTAGGCAATCCACACACCTGCCAAAGCACTGGCGAGAGCAGAGCAGCGATGGTGGGGGGAGGCGCATTAGGCGTCTGAGTGCTCATTATGTACTGCTCTGGTGCTGCATAGCTGTGAGGGCAAGAGGGGCGGAGAGGGTGGGGGGGTGGGGGAAGGGGGAAAGGTTCTCGGAGTGCTCATTATGTACTGCTCTGGTGCTGCATAGCTGGAGGATTAGGATGAAGTAGGGAGGAAGGGGGGGAATGGAGGTGGGGGGGGAGAAAGTGGTTGTTTGAGGTGAAGGTTTCAAGCCCATGCAAGGCCGTCTGAGTGCCGTGTAGCTGGGTTGACAGGGGAGGATGGGTGAGGGAGTGGGAGAGAGGGGTGCGAGGTTCTGAGTCTCAGTGTTCTGATGTACTGCTCTTGTTCCGCATAGGTGGGAACTAGTTTAAGGACCAACAAAGTCCTCCAAAGCTCAACAACCCCCCTTTCCCCCTCCCACTGCCTCCCTCCTTTTTGTTCTCTCTCTGTAACCACCAGGGGTCCAGCAGGGGCACGTTGGGGTTGTTGTGAGGGAGCCCAGCCCACCCACCGGATGCCCACCCGCAGGTCAGCAGTGAGGGGCATGGCACAAGGCAGCCAGATGCCCACGCGCAGGTCAACATGCACAACATGTGAGGCATGGAACGGGGCAGAGCAGCACAGTACACCACAGCGCACCCCCCTCTACTCACCGCGGGTCGAGCAGGAACTCGTTGGGGTTGTAGTTGATGCCCACTCGCAGGTCAGCAGCAGCACCCAGGTCAATGATCTTCAGCATTCCCGTGTCTGCATGGACGAGGGGAGGGAAGGGGGAATGGAGGAGAGAACAAGTGGTGATGGTGTAGGTAGAACCAGCAGAAGCAGAGGCAGCAGCAGCAGCAGCAGCGGCAGCAGCAGCAGCGGCAGAAGCAGCAGCAGCAGCAGCAGCAGCGGCGGCGGCGGCGGCGGCGGCGGCGGCGGCGGCGGCGGTCGCGGCGGCAGCGGCAGCAGCAGCAGCAGCAGCAGCATGGTGTGTGTTTCGTTTGTTTGTCCCCCCTAACTCTCTGTATTTCGTTTGTTTGTCCCCCCTAACTCTCTGTATTTCGTTTGTTTGTCCCCACTAACTCTCTGTATTTCGTTTGTTTGTCCCCCCTAACTCTCTGTATTTCGTTTTTTTGTCCCCCCCAACTCTCTTTTCATTTGTTTGTCCCCCCTTACTCTCTGTATTTCGTTTGTTTGTCCCCCCTAACTCTCTGTATTTCATTTGTTTATCCCCACCAAGTGATCCTTCCACGACCAGGCCAGTGGCCAGTGGCCACCCATTCACGGTGCACAACTGGTCCTTGTCATCCAGAACGCATTCCCCTGTTTCTACACGCCGCTACTCGTATCGCCTACATGCCTCGACCATACCAGAGTTGTGGATCATGTTCTGTGCTTCCATGCCTGCCTCCCTGAGTCTCAGGGCCTGAACACCCCCCAGTTGCGGATTGTCCTGATCTTGGTTTGCGGCTTGATGTCACGATGCAAAATGATTGCCACCGAGTGCAGCTTGTCCACGCTCTTGAGAATGCGCTTGAGGCTGCAACCCCCCACAACCCCCCCAGCCCCACTCCCCTGCTCATGCGCACGCACATTGCCTTGCTCTTAATGCCTTCATCTGTCAAACATACCCGAGTTGAAAATCATGTTCCGTGGCTTGATGTCACGATGCACAATGCCCACGGAGTGCTGCTTGTCCACACTCTTCAGGATGCGCTTCAGGATGCTCCTACTCCCCTGCTAGTGCTCTCACAACCCCCTGCTACTGTGTCCATTATCCCCTCTCGTAATGCCTTCATCCCTCCACTCACCCGAGTTGAAGATCATGTTCTGTGGCTTGATGTCACGGTGCACAATGCCCACGGAGTGCAGCTTGTCCACACTCTTCAGGATGCGCTTCAGGATGGTGCGGATCACGCGCATCTCCCGCTCCGGGCCCTTGGGCTCGCGAGGCACGTACCCCAGCACTGCCTTCTCTACCTGCGAGGTGGGGGAAGGAAGAAGGAAGAGGTTCCGAGTGAATATAAAGGAGTGCTCATGGGTGGGAAATGGTTGGAGGGGCTCGCGTGGCACGTACCCCAGCACTGCCTTCTCCACCTGTGCGGGGGGGAGATCGGGGGAGGGGAGGGGAAGAGGGGGTGAGCGAATGTAGGGGAGTATGAATGGGTTGGTAATGGTTGGAGGGGCTCGCGCGGCACGTACCCCAGCACTGCCTTCACCTCCTGTGATGTGAAGGGGAGGAGGGGAGGAGGGGTGGGGCGCATTTAGGGGATATAAAAGATTGAATGCGCGGAGGAAGGTGGTTTGAGGGGCTCTTGAGGCACGTGCCCCAGCATCATCTCCTCCTCTGGTAGGAGGGAGAGGGGGGACGAAAGGATGTAAGAAGGTTTCGTGCAATCTCATGACTCACGTTGTAGGGGAAGTTTTAATCTCAACACTCACGTTGTAGGAGAAGATATGATCTCAACACTCACATTGTAGGGGAAGTTATGATCTCAACACTCACATCGTAGGGAAAGTTCTAATCTCCACACTCGCGTTGTAGGGGAAGTTCTAATCTCCACACTCGCGTTGTAGGGGAAGTTATGATATCCACACTCACGTATGATCTCTACACTCACATTGTAGGGGAAGTTCTCGTCCTGCAGCACGTCAGCGAAGGTGGCATTTCCCTCGAATCTCCACACGATCCAAAAGTTGTCACGCGTCTTGGTCTTCTGCTCGGGGTGGGAGAAGGAGGGCGTGGGCGAGCAAACGAAGAGGACAGGGGAGGTGGGACGGGGGAGTGGGGAGTGTAGAGGGAGGGAAGTTCTAATCTGCCCCCCTTTATTCCCACAGCGCCGCCAACGCCCCCCATCCCCACAGCATACTTCCGCCGCCCTTCGACCACCTCAGTCCCCTCTCTCCCCCCTTCCTCCCCCTTCCAGCGCACCTCCACGAAGCCGTCGACGAAGTCCGCGCATGCCTGCGGGCACGCGCGCCTGACGCGCTCGTTCATCCACAGCTCCGCCGCGCCGAACTCGCTCGCCTTCTTCACCACGAACTGGTGTCGTGTCGCGCGCGTGACACACGGGTGAGAGGGGGACGGGAGACAGGCGGCGGAGGGGGCAGGTTGGGGACAAAAGTAGGGTCGAGAAGGGAGCGAAGAATGAAGCGCGAGGTTCTAGACGAATGTGACGGGACTGGACGAGGGGGGCGAGTCAAAGTGTTAGGCCGAGCAAGCTATCCCTCACAATATGAGGCAACCCATAGCATAGCTCTCTTGCATTGCTTGACTCCCTGCTACCCCCGCAGTGAACCAGCCTCCCCTCCCCTGCTGCATACTCATTTCAACCAAACCCTGAATTCCCCTTCCACCCGCGCTCGTCCCCTTACCCCCATCATCCCCACTCCCGCCATCTTCCCCTGCTAGCCGTGTCCTCCACTGACCGGTTCCCCTTACTCTCGCCTGGTCTCGCTGTACTTTCCCCTTTCACCCCTTCCCCTTATGCGCGCACCTCTTCCCCCGGCTTGTCCGCGATGGTGGCACGGAACACGCTGCCGTATGCGCCCTCCCCCAGCTTGCGCCCCAGCTTCACGTCGGACTGTGCGCGCGTAACGGAAGGGGAGAGGGGGAGGGAGAGAGGACGGGAGAAAGGCCACATTTAGTGGAGAGAAGGGGTACAGGAAGTGTTACAGGGAGTTTTTGAGAATTCTTAAAAACTCCCTGCAACGTCAAGGAGAGAGGACGGGAGAAAGGCCACATTTAGCGGAGAGAAGGGGTACAAGAAGAGGGATGCGAGGAAAGAAAGCAAACAGGCGGTTGCGGCCGCACCATGTACGCGAATTAAGACCAGGAGCGTCGAAGGGAAGGGGATGATCAAGCATTTATTCGTGGAACGTTTCGCATTAGCTTGCGAAACAGTTACCAATGGCTTCAGTTTACGAAATGGTTCGGCAAACTGTCGCTGGGATTTTTTGTGATCAGCGGAATGATTCTCCAGAAGCCAGACTGCTAACGACGTCAGAATGTCACAGAATGTTGAATTATCAACACACCAAATCAACTATCGCAAAAGGAATCACCCGGCGCGCAAGACGCCCGTTCAGTGCGTGTAACAATGTCCGCCTCGAAACGAGTCAGATTGTATAAAAGTCCCCCTCGGGATAAATCCGCCTCGCATGAAGCACACCTTTTTTGCCAACGTGCATCTCACCTTCTTAAGCTGCGGCCGTATCTTGCGCTCGATCGGCCCGTACACAAACATATCGAAGAACCCGGGAACGACGCCCGGCGTGGCCCACATGTAAGTCCCCAACAGAAGCAGCAGCAGCACTCCTCCCACCGTCAATCTCAACTGATCGTCCGCTGCGAGCGTGCTCCGGTAGATGACGTCACCGCATTGCATGACGGTGCACGGGAGACCGACGCCGACGGCCAGGAAGAGAGAGGAAAGTGATCCGTCCGTCAGCGCGCCGTCAGAGCTGACGGCTGCCGTTAACGAGACGAGCAGGTCGTTCACGGGTCCTGAGGCGTCGCATCGTGTGCTGAGAGCACCGCCATTCGAGCTAGAGCTATGACCGGATTTGAGTGAGCTTGGGAGGGATTGAGAGCGGCGAAGTTGTAGCAATCGCAGGCTCGCGGGAGTAGAGGTGAGCGATGAAGTTAGGGAAATGCGGGAAGCGGGAGATGCGGACGGGGAAGCTCCGCGCGGGAGACACTTTCCCGCTTGAAGACAGGAAGCTTCGACTGCTGCCATGCTTCAGACGGAATCTTCGCTACTGGTAATCTATGACAAGGCTGACTCGAAGCGTTCGAAGCAGGTGCAATAACCTGCTCACGTGGATAACCTATTGCTCGTTCGCTTGCAGGTTTGATCCCACTGAAAATGGCTTATAGCCTAGCCTTGCTATAGTTTCCTCGCGCGGGAACGAGGCGAGCGCTGAATCGAGAATTACGTGGATCCCGCGTCCACGGTATTGCTGTCGGAGACAGCAGAGGACTAACAAAGTTGACAGCTTGAAAGCATGGCGTACTGAAATGTACAGTGTGACTGGACTCCTTGGTCGCTAGTCACATTCACAGATAGAAATGTCACTGGTGAATGAGCAAGGAGCTTGAACTATATGGGACAAAACAGTCTGAGGGGAGAAAGGCGGGAGCAGGAATAAGATGGGATGGGGTGGGATGTCGGAGATTTTGAAAGGGTTCGGATGGTTTGAAAGGATTAAGGATGCGGAGAGAGAGGATTGTGTGAAGGGGTGGTCAGAAGAGGAAGCAAGGTAGAGTTGGAGAGAGCAGCGGTCAGTCAGTGGGGTGTGGAGGGGGAAGAGAGGTGTGGAGGAATGCGGCTTCACAAAATCACGAATGTCCAGCGGGATTGCTGGTCAGGTGAATGCGCTCGTCAATCCCAAAGAACTGCCAGCTTCTGGAAGTGTTTATCGAACCACCGCGTTCCGTTATTTCTCGAAACGGGATAGGCTGGAGACCTGACGAATGACTAGACAAAGCACGTCGCCGAGTCAGCAAGGTGAGTCACGCGTGTCGAGAGCGCGCGGTTAACAATCTGGATGCAAGAAAATGTGGTGATCGGTATCGACACGTGGATAGAAAATCTACTTCCCTGATCCGATGGTTGAGGTGCATGTCTGAGACTGAAGGACCTCAAGTGTTTTGGCCAACACTGCAAGTCGTCCATGGCACTGGTGCAGAACATGAAAGGTGGTGGGTGTTGTGGCGTGGCGAGAGCTTCCTGTTTCGAAAGACGATTGAAGGAAGCGGTGGTGATGGGCGAAGAACTGTTCGTTACATCGCTTTTCTTCGAGAGGATGTGGTTAACACGAACTGTTCGTTATTCCAAATCATATCGGGTCACTCAATCGAAGAGCACCACCTAGACACACTATGCAGCTGTGTCATGGAACCAGAATTCCAGGTCACTAGTGGATTTGGTAGGCTGAACTGTTCGCTCGTTTCTGGGCTGTACCTTCGTAGGAAAATGTCGCACCCTGCCAAGCTGGCGGAAGATGTGGCCCACAATACAGCTGTACGAAGGGTGAACTTTAGTTGGTTCAGAGACGACGACACTTAACCCAAAGAAGCAGCAATAAGCAGTTGCATTCACTAAATGCCAGTCTTGTGTCGCCACAATCACCTTACAACGTGATTGTGGCGACAGTGCCCTTGGTCCTGCCAATTTCAGCGCGTGTTTTCCTCGCGGAGTCCTTCCTGGTTTTGCTTCATCTCTGCTCAAATCTACTGCTCGGCTTCATTCATCTCCCCCCCACCTGATCATCACCACACCATTCCTCTGTTACCTGGATTGAAACGAGTTCAGCTGCTTGTGTTGTGTATAAAAAAGCAGTTAGGAATCTCTGACAGCTGGAGTCGCGCGTCACCTAGTTTTTTCGCAGTCTAAGTCCTAACCTGGACGCATTTCTTATTGCACTTGCTTCTGATGGCGGCGACGCTCAGCCATGTTGCTGCTTCTGGCAAAGCAGTAGTCGCTTCGACGCCTTGTCTTGACTCCATTGCGTCTTCCGCCATTACAAAGACAGCGCGACTACATTTGAATTCTTCCCTGCTATCCGGTAGTCTCCCGCTCCGTTGCAACACACCAAACATCAAAACATGCTCGGTCTCGCGAAAGCACGTTACTGGAGTTCGCGCGATGGCGACGGAAAGCTCTTCGTCCGTCGCATCAGCGGAGGTGTCGGGAGGGGATCACGGAGGTCTCAAGGTCGGGTACCACACGGCGCAAGGCCTGCGCGACAGCATGGAGGACCATCTGGTCGTGATCCGAGACATTCCCGGCGGGTTTCTCTACGCCGGCATCTTTGACGGCCATGCGGGAAGCGCTTCCGCTCGATTCCTAAAGTACGAGCCCATTAAATATATTTCCAATGCCTTTCTACTAGTTTTTAGAAAGAGAACCTCCAAATGTCAGTTCCTTGATCGTGGGACTCCGTGTGAAAATGCACATTCCGATTCCTGTTGAATCTCATCTCCTGGGCAATGGGCGATGGGCGATGGGCGATGGGTGATGGAATGTTAATGGGTGATGGCAGGGACGAGTTGTACATCGACTGCATGGACGCGTTAGAAGGAGGCGCGTTACTGTCGGACGAGGATCTCGATGCTGTGGAGGAAGCGCTTCAAGACGCCTTCATTCAGGCGGACCAGAGGCTGCTGCAGTGGTGAGTGCAGCATCGTTAGTCGGTGACGCGATATCTTGTAGCAAGACTTCGTGTAATGAAGCATTTAAAAGACCCCCTTGATGGGCCATTGAGTCAGCTGAAACAGCCGTGTACTTCCTAGTCTCAAACATGCCCTTTCACCCTTCCTCCTCACGTGCACCCATGCACCCACGCTCTCCACGCTGGGTGCACACTGAGTACAGTCAGGACCACTGAGGCAGCTACATTGACCATATGCCTCTTCGTCTCCAACGCACCCCTTCTGCCTCACGCACACGCGTGGACCCCTATCCCCCTTCTCGTTTCCGGCTCCTATTCATATTCAGGCTGGCGGAGCACAGTGAGGAGCCGGAGTCAGGGTCCACAGGCACGGTGGCGTTTGTGCGCAAGGATCGCCTTTTCATCGCTCACCTCGGGGACTCCCGCGCTGTGAGACGATTTATTAGGTGCTTAGAAAGAAACTCGCCTCACTTCACAAGGAGCCGGAGTCAGGGTCCACAGGCACGGTGGCGTTTGTGCGCAAGGACTGGCTCTTCATTGTGCACCTCGGGGACTCCCGCGCTGTGAGTACCTCTAACATACAGGTGTCCCTGACTTGATAGGAGGTGGTGGCGGGGGTGTGGGCCGATATGGAGGCACTGTGGCGTTTGTGCGCAAGGACTGGCTCTTCATTGTGCACCTCGGGGACTCCCTCCCGCGCTGGTGCGCCAACCACGTGCTGAGATGTCTCAGCAGCACACTCAAGCTCTGCTCCGAGCACCTCTGACTGTTCCTGCGGTGATGTTAGGTGCTGAGTTGGGAAGGAGGATGACGCGGAGGACCTATCAATGGGTCACCATGGCATGGGGAGTCTCAATGCCCTCTTAAGCCCCTCGCCTCTTTCTCGTGCTCCTGCCTGTCCCGCATCATCCCAACCAAGCCTCCTGTCATCATCCCTGCTGTACCAATTAGTTAATGCAGCGACTTCTGAGTCGACTCAAAAGTCACCTCCTTTACACGCTTCTCCCATCATCATCCCTGCTGTACCAATTAGTTAATGCAGCGACTTCTGAGTAGACTCAAAAGTCACCTCCTTTACACGCTTCTCCCATCATCATCCCTGCTGTACCAATTAGTTAATGCAGCGACTTCTGAGTCGACTCAAAAGTCACCTCCTTTACACGCTTCTCCCATCATCATCCCTGCTGTACCAATAAGTTAATGCGGCTAGGGGTGGGTGGTGACGTGGAGGAGTCGCCACTGCGATGAGGCGTCTCAAATCCAGATTTCTTTCTGTCCCCTTCATCGCAGGTGCTGGGGGTGGGTGGAGACACGGAGGACCTGTCTCAGGACCACAAGCCCCATGGGGAGTCACCGATTGCCAAGGCAGAGATCAAGCGGATTGAGAAGGCGGGCGGATGGGTGAGTGCGTGCGGCTGATGGGTGAGTGCGTGCGGCTGATGGGTGAGTGCGTGCGGCTGATGGGTGAGTGCGTGCGGCTGATGGGTGAGTGCGTGCGGCTGATGGGAGGCTGTGGGTGAGAAGGGGGCCTTTGGCAGCTATGTGGAGGAGGCGTGGTGTGGAATGAGTGGAGATGGGGGTGGACAGAAAGGGTGATAAGGAAACATAGGACAACTTGGTGATGGGAAAGAAAATAAGGCATGTGTGATGCGAAGAGAAGGAAAGGCGAGGTGTGTGATGCGAAGAGAAGGAAAGGCGAGGTGTGTGATGCGAAGAGAAGGAAAGGCGAGGTGTGTGATGCGAAGAGAAGGAAAGGCGAGGTGTGTGATGCGAAGAGAAGGAAAGGCGAGGTGTGTGATGCGAAGAGAAGGAAAGGCGAGGTGTATGATGCGAAGAGAAGGAAAGGCGAGGTGTGTGATGCGAAGAGAAGGAAAGGCGAGGTGTGTGATGCGAAGAGAAGGAAAGGCGAGGTGTGTGATGCGAAGAGAAGGAAAGGCGAGGTGTGTGATGCGAAGAGAAGGAAAGGCGAGGTGTGTGATGCGAAGAGAAGGAAAGGCGAGGTGTGTGATGCGAAGAGAAGGAAAGGCGAGGTGTATGATGCGAAGAGAAGGAAAGGCGAGGTGTGTGATGCGAAGAGAAGGAAAGGCGAGGTGTGTGATGCGAAGAGAAGGAAAGGCGAGGTGTGTGATGCGAAGAGAAGGAAAGGCGAGGTGTGTGATGCGAAGAGAAGGAAAGGCGAGGTGTGTGATGCGAAGAGAAGGAAAGGCGAGGTGTGTGATGCGAAGAGAAGGAAAGGCGAGGTGTGTGATGCGAAGAGAAGGAAAGGCGAGGTGTGTGATGCGAAGAGAAGGAAAGGCAAGGTGTGTGATGCGAAGAGAAGGAAAGGCGAGGTGTGTGATGCGAAGAGAAGGAAAGGCGAGGTGTGTGATGCGAAGAGAAGGACAGGCGAGGTGTGTGATGCGAAGAGAAGGAAAGGCAAGGTGTGTGATGCGAAGAGAAGGAAAGGCGAGGTGTGTGATGCGAAGAGAAGGAAAGGCGAGGTGTGTGATGCGAAGAGAAGGAAAGGCAAGGTGTGTGATGCGAAGAGAAGGAAAGGCAAGGTGTGTGATGCGAAGAGAAGGAAAGGCGAGGTGTGTGATGCGAAGAGAAGGAAAGGCAAGGTGTGTGATGCGAAGAGAAGGAAAGGCGAGGTGTGTGATGCGAAGAGAAGGAAAGGCGAGGTGTGTGATGCGAAGAGAAGGAAAGGCAAGGTGTGTGATGCGAAGAGAAGGAAAGGCAAGGTGTGTGATGCGAAGAGAAGGAAAGGCGAGGTGTGTGATGCGAAGAGAAGGAAAGGCAAGGTGTGTGATGCGAAGAGAAGGAAAGGCGAGGTGTGTGATGCGAAGAGAAGGAAAGGCGAGGTGTGTGATGCGAAGAGAAGGACAGGCGAGGTGTGTGATGCGAAGAGAAGGAAAGGCAAGGTGTGTGATGCGAAGAGAAGGAAAGGCGAGGTGTGTGATGCGAAGAGAAGGAAAGGCGAGGTGTGTGATGCGAAGAGAAGGAAAGGCAAGGTGTGTGATGCGAAGAGAAGGAAAGGCAAGGTGTGTGATGCGAAGAGAAGGAAAGGCGAGGTGTGTGATGCGAAGAGAAGGAAAGGCAAGGTGTGTGATGCGAAGAGAAGGAAAGGCGAGGTGTGTGATGCGAAGAGAAGGAAAGGCGAGGTGTGTGATGCGAAGAGAAGGAAAGGCAAGGTGTGTGATGCGAAGAGAAGGAAAGGCAAGGTGTGTGATGCGAAGAGAAGGAAAGGCGAGGTGTGTGATGGGACATGCATCTCAGGTCAAACGGTTATCTGTGGGGCATACATAGCATTTCCATTAGCACCTATCTGTTCTGAATCGTCGTCCTTGCTCTGTGTGAATGCGTGGCTGTGTGTGTGTGAGTGAGTGTTTGGATGACAGGTGAGTCAAGGCCGCGTGTGTGGAGTGGTGGCAGTGTCTCGTGCCTTTGGCAACGCCAACTTCAAGACACGACGCGAACAGTGAGCACTTTGCATTCCAGCACCGTTCCAGCACATTTGACCTTGCTTTTGAAACCATGTCTTTTATCGAACGGTTTCCTTGAATCTGGCTGGACACAGTGGCTGGACACAGTGACTGGAAACCATCAGATCAGTTCTCATTCAACTGCAAGATCCAAAGCCCACATCCCGCTGTGTCCCCGTACCCGGTGTGCTGCAGGATGCTGTCAGAAGGTGTGAAGAAGGGCCGCTGGACCACCCGCTTCGTTTCCAAGTAAGTGCCACCCACCTGCAGTTGCCTGATGCTTTCAGATGTTTTAGGCGCCTCAAAAGTCTTCAAGGTGTGAAGAAGGGGCGCTGGACCACCCGCTTTGTCTCCAAGTAAGTGCCACTTCCAGTCAGCTCATGCTTCCATCCAAGTAGACGCTTCTCTCTATCGGTCGTGTTTTCACTCCAAGTGCCTGCTCATAGCGCTGGCCGTTCTGCCACAGCTCTCACACCCACATGCTCATTGTAAGTGATCCCTTCACCATTCCGCCTTCTCCTCGCCACCCCCTCCCCTCTCAGGTGCTCGTTTCAGAGCGATGGATCTCTGCGGTGCCGGACGAGCTGCTGAGCTGGCTGTTGAGTCGACTCCAGCTGCCATCTCCCTCCACCACTGCACCTCTACTCGCCTTCCCCTCCCCTCTCAGGCGCTCGTTTCAGAGCGATTGGATCTCTGCCGTGCCGGACGTGTATGCTGCTGAGGTGGAGGAGGATGCCGAGTTTGTCATCATTGCGTCCGACGGGCTCTGGGAGGGCGTGAAGAGGTAAGCCTCTTTGGTAGAGCCGTCTGTCTGCCCTCTCTTGTAAGCCTCTTTGGCAAAGCCGTCTGTCTGCCCTCTCTTGTACGCCTCTTTGGTGGCGCTCTCTGCTGGCTCTCTCATGCCGAGTTTTGTCATCATTGCGTCTGATGGGCTCTGGGAGGGCGTGAAAAGGTGAGGTCTTGGCTGACCCTCTCTGGTGGGCCTCTGATTCGGCCCTTCTATTATGAGGGTCTTAAGTTGCCTTCCCGTTTGACCCTCTCGTGTGGCACTCTGGTTTATCTGTCGGCCGTTTCGCATTCCATCTTCCATCGCTGCAAGTAACCCTCTTTTTTCTCATCTCCACGTCTTCCTCTGATGCTAGCTTCTTTCCGCACTGTCCCCCATCCCTCTTCGTGTGTGGTGGCATCTTGGGGTCTCTTGTCTCATGCCTCACTTTTCGTGATATGGTTTCATTTCTTGCTACAGCTCGGAAGCCGTGGCGTTTGTTCGAAGGGAGCTGGAAAGCCATGGTGACATTCAACAAGCAACAGACAACCTAGCCAGTTTTGCGCTTCAGGTACTTGGTACTCTGTTGTCATATAGTGCATTGCACTCTGATTGCACTGCTATCTGTGTTAATTAATTCATCCTTTTGCTCGGTGCCCCTTTTGCAGGATCGGAAAGGCGAGGACAACATCAGCATCGTTATTATTGGCTTTAAATAAACACCTGATTGACTAGGTTGCGAGAAAGTATTGAGTGCCAATGTCAAAAGCATGTGCTATACGAAATCCTGCAAGCCAGCCATAAAGACAAAGATGCATTGGTTCGATTGAACGTCCCATGACGTGTAAGTCGCAGAAACTCCGTATAGCGCGTACGTGGGCAAGAAATGCGGTGTGGTTCGTGAATGTGCTGTGCGCTCCAGCATCCCTCTCACAACTCGATTGATCAAATCAATCCATTGATTCGTGTGCAGAGAACAGATCAGTGGTTCCTTGATGACTCCGTCCCACATCATTTTCTTCATTGTGGTTCTCTTTGGACGCTCATCGGGCTAGTGCCCCTGCGATCCGAAAGGCGCTCGCGATCTGCGAGGCGCGCTTGCAGATCTCAGGCGCCGACAATTTCTGGGTACGCCTGGCTTCGACGTCCCGAATTGGGCGATTCGCGATCAGCTTCTTTGTGCCGTACAAACTTCGTTGAGACGTACTTACAAGAACCTCCCACGTACATTCTTGTATCAAACTTGTCATCAAAACTTGTTATCAAACTTCGTTGAGACGTACTTACAAGAAACACCCGATGCGCAAGGCCTGAAACGTGTAAGGTAACAAATTCTGGAACGCCGGCTCTGGCAGTCAGACGGCTGGACGTGGCGTTTCAGATTCAAGCGGCAGGAGAACTGGACGGTTGAACGGCAAATCTGGCGGCGCCTGGAACAGAACGTCCGGAAACAGGATAGACGCTCCTCCACTCGCGCTGCGGCCCTTGGCCTGAACAGACACGACAGAGCGCGCCGAAACAGGCTAGAGGCCGCAGCGTGAGTGGCGGAGGAGTGGACGGCGACACGTGGAGAGGGGGCTGGGAGAGGGGCGACGCGTGGAGAATGGCCGGCAAGGCGAGTTCCGCGAAGCTGCGTGAGGCGTTCAAGTACTGCGTGGACCAAGTCAGGTGCGCCGAAGCAGGCTAAGGATGTTACAACACACTGAACGCACGCTGAAGGATCCACGAGTCAGCAACATGCGTGCTGCATGCTGCTTGCTGCATGTCGCGTGAGGCATGAGGCACATTTTTATCCGTGGTGCATGCTGTTTAATGCCATCCATCTCATCAGCCATTTCACATCATTGGCATTGTGGCAGGAAGCATGACTCGGAGCACTACATCGGAGCACTGTGCATGCCGGCACAACCCAGGCCCGTACAGCCAGTTCTATAACACACCCCACCATGTGCCGTTCGTTTCACCACACCCATCCACATCATTGGCAACGTGTCAGGAAGCATGACTCGGAGCACTACATCGGAGCACTGTACATGCCAGCACAACACAGGCCCACCCAATTCGCGCTCAGAGCATTCAATGTGGAGACCTCATTGGTACGCCCCTCCTTAGTAGCCTCATCGCCCCAGTGCGGTTTTCCTGTGGACTCAAAAAGTCACCCCAGCACAGCACAGTCCCACCCAATTCGCGCTCAGAGCATTCAATGTAGAGACCTCATTGGTACGCTTCTCCTTTGCCCCTTTTCCCCATTGCTCCGGTCGCCTCATCGCCCCTTTGCCCCGTTGCCCCATTGCTCCGTTTTCTCTTGACGCCCCGCAACGTCCTTCCTCCTCGCAACGCTGCAGATCCGTGACAGGGCGCGGGAGCGGCGCCTTGTACCTTAACACTGCACGCCCTTTCCCTCTCCTGTGCTCCACTGCTCCTCTTCTTCCCCACAACACTACAGATCCCGGACAGGGCTCGGGAGCACCGCCTTGCCATCATTCGCCTCGCCTGGTGGAGAGACGCCCTCACCCGCCTCTTTCAGGTAACTTCCCCCCTACATGTATGGCACACACAGACCCAGCCACGCTGGCCCAGATCCTTGAGAACCACCCTGTGCGACTTTTGAGTGTTAACCCTGCGCTCCTGATGAGGTGACTCTTGAGTCGACTCAAAATTCGCTGGCCCAGCTCCTTGAGAGCCACCCTGTGCGACTTTTGAGTGTCAACCCTGCGCTCCAGTGCGACGTTTTCTGGCCTTTGAGGCGCCGTTGATCTGCACTCCCCTTTTGAACATACCCAATGTTCCCAGGGCCAGCTCCCGGAGGACCACCCAGTGCTGGTGGCGCTGGGGGCAGTGCGGGAGGCGCGTCCCTCCCAATTAACGCAGTTCCTTCCCTTCTCAACCCCAGGCCCCAATTAACGCAGTTCCTTCCCTTCTCAACCCCAGGCCCCAATTAACGCAGTTCCTTCCCTTCTCGCTGGCCCAGCTCCTTGAGAGCCACCCTGTGCGACTTTTGAGTGTCAACCCTGCGCTCCAGTGCGACGTTTTCTGGCCTTTGAGGCGCCGTTGATCTGCACTCCCCTTTTGAACATACCCAATGTTCCCAGGGCCAGCCCCCGGAGGACCACCCAGTGCTGGTGGCGCTGGGGGCAGTGCGGGAGGCGCGTCCCTCCCAATTAACGCAGTTCCTTCCCTTCTCAACCCCAGGCCCCAATTAACGCAGTTCCTTCCCTTCTCAACCCCAGGCCCCAATTAACGCAGTTCCTTCCCTTCTCAACCCCAGGCCCCAATTAACGCAGTTCCTTCCCTTCTCGCTGGCCCAGCTCCTTGAGAGCCACCCTGTGCGACTTTTGAGTGTCAACCCTGCGCTCCAGTGCGACGTTTTCTGGCCTTTGAGGCGCCGTTGATCTGCACTCCCCTTTTGAACATACCCAATGTTCCCAGGGCCAGCCCCCGGAGGACCACCCAGTGCTGGTGGCGCTGGGGGCAGTGCGGGAGGCGCGTCCCTCCCAATTAACGCAGTTCCTTCCCTTCTCAACCCCAGGCCCCAATTAACGCAGTTCCTTCCCTTCTCAACCCCAGGCCCCAATTAACGCAGTTCCTTCCCTTCTCAACCCCAGGCCCCAATTAACGCAGTTCCTTCCCTTCTCGCTGGCCCAGCTCCTTGAGAGCCACCCTGTGCGACTTTTGAGTGTCAACCCTGCGCTCCAGTGCGACGTTTTCTGGCCTTTGAGGCGCCGTTGATCTGCACTCCCCTTTTGAACATACCCAATGTTCCCAGGGCCAGCCCCCGGAGGACCACCCAGTGCTGGTGGCGCTGGGGGCAGTGCGGGAGGCGCGTCCCTCCCAATTAACGCAGTTCCTTCCCTTCTCAACCCCAGGCCCCAATTAACGCAGTTCCTTCCCTTCTCAACCCCAGGCCCCAATTAACGCAGTTCCTTCCCTTCTCGCTGGCCCAGCTCCTTGAGAGCCACCCTGTGCGACTTTTGAGTGTCAACCCTGCGCTCCAGTGCGACGTTTTCTGGCCTTTGAGGCGCCGTTGATCTGCACTCCCCTTTTGAACATACCCAATGTTCCCAGGGCCAGCCCCCGGAGGACCACCCAGTGCTGGTGGCGCTGGGGGCAGTGCGGGAGGCGCGTCCCTCCCAATTAACGCAGTTCCTTCCCTTCTCAACCCCAGGCCCCAATTAACGCAGTTCCTTCCCTTCTCAACCCCAGGCCCCAATTAACGCAGTTCCTTCCCTTCTCGCTGGCCCAGCTCCTTGAGAGCCACCCTGTGCGACTTTTGTGTGTCAACCCTGCGCTCCAGTGCGACGTTTTCTGGCCTTTGAGGCGCCGTTGATCTGCACTCCCCTTTTGAACATACCCAATGTTCCCAGGGCCAGCCCCCGGAGGACCACCCAGTGCTGGTGGCGCTGGGGGCAGTGCGGGAGGCGCGTCCCTCCCAATTAACGCAGTTCCTTCCCTTCTCAACCCCAGGCCCCAATTAACGCAGTTCCTTCCCTTCTCAACCCCAGGCCCCAATTAACGCAGTTCCTTCCCTTCTCAACCCCAGGCCCCAATTAACGCAGTTCCTTCCCTTCTCGCTGGCCCAGCTCCTTGAGAGCCACCCTGTGCGACTTTTGAGTGTCAACCCTGCGCTGCAGTGCCACGTTTTCTGGCCTTTGAGGCGCCGTTGATCTGCACTCCCCTTTTGAACATACCCAATGTTCCCAGGGCCAGCCCCCGGAGGACCACCCAGTGCTGGTGGCGCTGGGGGCAGTGCGGGAGGCGTGTCCCTCCCAATTAACGCAGTTCCTTCCCTTCTCAACCCCAGGCCCCAATTAACGCAGTTCCTTCCCTTCTCAACCCCAGGCCCCAATTAACGTAGTTCCTTCCCTTCTCAACCCCAGGCCCCAATTAACGCAGTTCCTTCCCTTCTCAACCCCAGGCCCCAATTAACGCAGTTCCTTCCCTTCTCAACCCCAGGCCCCAATTAACGCAGTTCCTTCCCTTCTCAACCCCAGGCCCCAATTAACGCAGTTCCTTCCCTTCTCAACCCCAGGCCCCAATTAACGCAGTTCCTTCCCTTCTCAACCCCAGGCCCCAATTAACGCAGTTCCTTCCCTTCTCAACCCCAGGCCCCAATTAACGCAGTTCCTTCCCTTCTCAACCCCAGGCCCCAATTAACGCAGTTCCTTCCCTTCTCAACCCCAGGCCCCAATTAACCCAGTTCCTTCCCTTCTCAACCCCAGGCCCCAATTAACGCAGTTCCTTCCCTTCTCGCTGGCCCAGCTCCTTGAGAGCCACCCTGTGCGACTTTTGAGTGTCAACCCTGCGCTCCAGTGTGACGTTTTCTGGCCTTTGAGGCGCCGTTGATCTGCACTCCCCTTTTGAACATACCCAATGTTCCCAGGGCCAGCCCCCGGAGGACCACCCAGTGCTGGTAGCGCTGGGGGCAGTGCGGGAGGCGCGTCCCTCCCAATTAACGCAGTTCCTTCCCTTCTCAACCCCAGGCCCCAATTAACGCAGTTTCTTCCCTTCTCAACCCCAGGCCCCAATTAACGCAGTTCCTTCCCTTCTCAACCCCAGGCCCCAATTAACGCAGTTCCTTCCCTTCTCAACCCCAGGCCCCAATTAACGCAGTTCCTTCCCTTCTCAACCCCAGGCCCCAATCAACGCAGTTCCTTCCCTTCTCAACCCCAGGCCCCAATTCACGCAGTTCCTTCCCTTCTCAACCCCAGGCCCCAATTAACGCAGTTCCTTCCCTTCTCAACCCCAGGCCCCAATTAACGCAGTTCCTTCCCTTCTCAACCCCAGGCCCCAATTAACGCAGTTCCTTCCCTTCTCAACCCCAGGCCCCAATTAACGCAGTTCCTTCCCTTCTCAACCCCAGGCCCCAATTCTCACATGCTGGTGGCGCTGGGAGCAGTGCGGGAGGCGACGGGAATCACCAAGCCGTGGCTGCTTCTTGAGATGAGCACCTGAAATCTCAATTCCTTACATAACCCCAATCTCCATGTGTGCTCACACGCAGGGCCAGCCACCCGAGGACCACCCAGTGCTGGTGGCGCTGGGGGCAGTGCGGCAGGCGACGGGAATCACCAAGCCATGGCTGATGCGAGTCATTGCTGCCCGGGTGGGTGGTGTGTGTGGGGTGGGGGGTTGGGTGTGGAGGGGGGAGGGGAGGGTGTGGGGGAGGGTGCATTCCCTGCTCAGTGAAATGCTCTGGCATGCTATCGTCTCCCAGCTTTCGACTCCCACCTTTCGTCTCCCAGCTTTCGTCTCCCACCTTTCGTCTCCCAGCTTTCGTCTTCCACCTCTCGTCTTCCACCTCTCGTCTCCCACCTCTCTCTCTTTCTCATCGCTTTCCCTCCGTGTGCCTGACGTTGACCTTACTGTCCCCCTGTGCCTGACGTTGTTGACCACCATTGACCACCGTTGACCACCATTGACCATCATTGACCACCACCATCAGATGGAGGACTTGGAGCGGGCGGCCTTCCCACCCAACACGATCGCCGATGTGGAACAGTGAGTGCCACCACTTTGTATTAGTTGACTCACGAATCGACGTGTAACAGTGAGCGTTACTTTGTCTTAGCTGACTCACAGATTGATGTGGGACAGTGATTGCCACCATGTCACCTTGGGTGTGGTGGGAGAGCCATGGTGAAGGGTGGGGTGCGGGGGAGAAGGGTGTGGTGGGAGAGCCATTCACCGCACCCTTCTCCCCCGCCCGCCTGATCCCTCCACCCTCCGCGTAGAATACATTCAACGCAATACCTGCACATCACTATTCGTTGACAACTGCTCAAAGCGCGTTCGTTCTAATCGGTTTAGTCATCCTTCTCTTCACCGTGGCTCACACAACATGTTTGTGTGCGCACATATCATGCGTGCATACCTGCATGCCTGCATGCATGCATGAAAGAGCAGGTACGCGGAGTCAACGTCCTCGGCGCTGCTCTACCTCTCCCTGCAGGCTGCTGGCTTGAAAGTATGGTGCCTCACGAATGTGTTCTCTTCCCCGTCCATGCCAAATATGGCATGCCCACGAGTGCAGGTACGCGGATTCAACGTCCTCGGCGCTGCTCTACCTCTCCCTGCAGGCTGCTGGCATCAACAGCGTGCATGCCGATCATGCTGCCTCCCACGTTGGTAAGCCCACTTTGCTACTCCCCACATTGGTAACTGCATTGGTAACTGCATTGGTAACCACATCAGTAACGGCACTTGTATTCTGCAGGCTGCTGGCATCAACAGCGTGCATGCTGACCACGCTGCTTCCCACATTGGTAATCACGTTGGTAACTTCTTTGGTAACCATTGGCATCTGCATTTGGTAACCACACTAGTGACCACATCAGTATCAGCACTTGTATTGCGCAGGCTGCGGGCTTCAGGCATCCATAGCACGCATGTTGACCATGCTGCCTCCCACACTGGTTACATCATTGGTAACTGCAATGGTAACCACATTGGTAGCCACAATGGTAACCACATTGGTAACCACATTGGTAACCACATTGGCAGCCACATCGGTAACCACATTGGCAGCCACATCGGTAACCACATTGATGTTCCTCAGTCCTGTTGAGGCCTACCTTGATGCTTCTCACTACCTCCTCCCAGGCAAGGCGGAGGGCATGGCTCTTCTGCTGCGCGGCGCATCGTACCACGCAGCACAGAGGCGATCGCACATTCCGCTAGATGTCGCTGCAAAGGTGCGTTCTACTAAGACAAGGCGGGGCGCATGGCTCTTCCGCCCCAAAAAGCGCATCGTACCATGCAGCACAGAGGCGCTCGCACATTCCTGTAGATGTCGCTGCGAAGGTACAGTGCTTGTGTGGGTCGTAAACCGTTTGATTACTGATATCCCTTTGCAAGCAGATGGTATTCATTACCTTTCACCCCGTCGTATCCCAAACCCGCTGCTTCTCCGAATTTATTGCTTCAACCACCAGCATGGGCTCATGCTTCACCCACCAGCATGGGCTCATGCTTCAACCACCAGCATGGGCTCATGCTTCACCTTGTCACAACCCCTTTCCGCTTTTCAAGCTGTTGCCTTCCCTCTCATTCCCTTCCACCTTGTTGTTCCCCACCCTTCCCACCCTTCTTCTCCCACCCTCCTACCTCCCTTCCTGATCTCGTACCACTTCTACCACCAGCATCGGCTGGTGCATGAGGAGTTGTTTTAGAGTTTTGGGTGGCCGGGAAGCTCGACTCACCTCTTCTTTTAATCCAACACTCTTACCATCAGCATGGACTCGTGCATGAGGAGCTGTTTCGAGGGCGGCAGCCGCCCAGCTTCAGGGAGTGCGTGTACGATGTGGCATGTGTGGCGCAAGCACATCTGCAAAAGGCCAAAGCCTTGCAGTCCTCCTTGCCTCCTATAGCTCGACAATTACTCTTGCCATCAGCTGTAAGTTCTGCCACCAATGACTCTTGTTCTTCTTGAATCTATATCATATTGGGAATTTGACTGAGTCTTTTGGTGTTGTTTTGCAGGTGGGTGCAAATCTTTTCCTTCACAACCTGCAGCGCCACCACTTCGATGCAATGGACCCATCACTTCTTCGAGGAGTGTGGGGAGTGTCTCCGCTATGGCTGCACTCAAATTTGTTATGGAAATCACTACGGAAATCTGCCTTCTAGCTTCAGTTTATTCCATGCAGGCGAATACCATACGCATTTTCAGCTGTGGTGAGGTGTAATATAGTGTTTCCATTCATAAGGAGGATTTCCTTCCACCAACCACCTATGTTGTTCACCAATGGCTGTAGCCGCTCCACAAAAGTTCAGGGTACTCCTACTGTGTTCGATTCGAAATTGAAAATTTCACCTGTCTGACACCACACACGCCACCCATTGGAGCCGCGCGGTCAATTTGAATTCCTGAGTCCCGACTCGCTCGAATCGACAATTCCTGTCTGCTCCTTTTTCAGTAGAATTGCGCGATTTTACATTGACCTCAGCCCAGCTCAACCAGACTCAGCCCAGCCTGACCTTACCGAAACCAGCCAAAACCAGAATACTATTGCGGAATACCACCTGATTTTGACTGCGTGTTCAGCCCGTTGCGCTGATTTGTTTTCGCCATATACACACGACCGTCCAAAGCAGGTCGCAGCTTTCCAGCCTGTGCCACGACTTTCCCGTTGTGTATTCTGGAGGAATAAAGCCGAGCACTAAATATACTCCAGTAAGTCCTCGCCTGGCTTTAGCGCTAACATTCCGTTGGCTAGTCTCCATAGGAACTGCTCCCACCCGGCTACCTCCAACTCCTCCGAATTTCACACCTTTTGCAGCACGGTGCTGCTAGTAAGAGCTCCGAACTTCACTGATAGCTTCCAGTAAGGCCGCACTTGTGTGTCTCTTCCTCTAGGTCAGTACGATGGGCTTACGGACGAAACCCGCCAGGTCAGCTTCGTTTTCCCGATTGGAGTACCTACCGCTGCTTCTCCTCCTTGTCGCGATTGTCGCAGCCCCGACAAACGCACTCCGCAAACCCCGTCGCCTCATGCGGGGCCTGCAAGCCATTCGCGCCGCGCTTCCTCTTGAATTGACGGCCACCGTGACATCGGGTTCCCCGAAGCTCGGAGTGACGACGTGGCGCCCTGCGATTCGCCGGCTGATCACAGCGATTGGATTAGCGTCGGCCAAGTCACCCGCAGTTTCCAAGCAGAACCCCGGCGCCAACGTGGCAATCAGCGGCGAAAACCTAACCGTCACCCAGAAGCAGGCCGTTGCGAAGCAGGAGAGCGCGGCGTCGAACGTCCAACGGTCACCGCCCAACACGGTCACCTCCGAACTCCAAGCCAAGAAAGACAAAGACAACACGCAAGAGACCTCCGTTGAGAACAGCAATGACCACGAGAAAGGCGGCCGCGGCAGCGGCGGCGGCTGCTCCGGTAACAGCGACTTCGATTCTGATTTGGCGCCTCCCTCGCTCGCCTCCCCGTGCCCGCACCCTTCCCCCAACGGGGGCGAATCCGCCGATCGTGGCCGGAGCCGCCTGTCGCCGCTACCCATCGCATGCCCCGCGCGCCCCGCCATGTGCGACTTCTTCTTTGACGGCCTGACGGACGAGATACCGGTCATCCGTCTGTCCGCCGATTCCTTTTTCGCTGGCCGGCCGATTCCCATCGGACCGTCTCCCATCGTCGCCATGGCTGGCGGAGCTTTCGTGGATGTTTCGCGCGTTGAGGGGAACTACTCCCGCGCCGTGTGTCTGGGCGAGCCAGCGGAGAATCCGGCGCCAGTCACGGCGACAGACACGTGGCAGGGGAAGACCACGGACGTTTCGAAGAAGCTTCTGCAGGACCAGCTGATCCTGCCAGAAAGGCTGTTTCAGCTGCGCGGGAACGGAGAACTGATGTACAACGGCGCTGACGTGGCAGACTGGGACGACGACGACATCTGGCTGGCGGCGGCTAAAAGTCCCGACGGCGTTACCGTCAGCGTGCAAATCGACGAAGCCACAGTGAACCTGTTCGGGGTCAATATCGAGCTTAATATTACCGAGGATGGATCCGCCACGTCGGAGAACCGCGAGGTTCCCGGCGCCGAGGCGCAGATGGCTCTGCTCGAGGCGTCCTCGTTATTAACAGACCCATCGTCTTTCATGCACGATGCAGAACCCCCGTCAGCCTCGCCGCCATCCCCATCCGCAGCAGCGGCAGCGGCGGCAAAGGAAGCAAAGAACGGGATTGATCGCAAGAAGCTGTTGGAGTGGCCTGAGCGGGAGGCGGCTTCCGCCAGGCGCCTGGCGGAGGCGGAAGGCGCGAGCGCGAAGGGCGCGGCGACGCAGTGGCAGGAGATGATGCTGAATGCTGGAGTCGCGGCAATCCCTGAGGCAGGGCGCCCGGCCCTCCCCCTCGTGGCGACTATTGTGATGCCAGAGGATAGTGACTCCTCCCCTGCTGCCACTGGCGCTAAGGATTCTGCTCCTGCTGTTTCTGGGGAAGGGGGAGACGCAGGGAGAGTGGAATCGGAGGAGAAGCGCAACTGGTTGAACCAGCCGACCAGCGGTGCTGTGGAGGGGGTGAGTGACAAGGGCGCAGGGAGCGGCAGTGCGAAGAGTGCTGCTGGTGGTACCGCTGGTGGTGCTGGTGGTACTGCTGGTGCTGGTGCTGGCCCTGCTGCTGCCGCGGGTAAGGAAAGCAAGCTTCCTCGCGAAGAATCCAACGGAGGAAGCAGCAGTGGCAAGAGCAGTGATGGCAAGAGCGACAAGGCTGCAGGTAAGGCTGCAGGGGTGCCAGAACAGCACCATGACTCTGAGGCTAACAGCCGCTTCTACTTCCCTTTGCATCGCCGGTGCATTTTGTTCCGAGTCAAGATTGTTTGACGTGACTCTAACATAGGTTTTTAGTAGTATCTGATGGGTAGATGGTGTCTCTCGCACCTATTAGGCACACCTCACAAGCTGAAATGATGATGTGTTCGTGCTGTAGTCTCCAAATGATTATAAACAGATTATGACTTCACGTGTGATGGCCCTGATGGTGCTGCTCGTGGTGATGGGCCTGATGGTAAAACATTTCCTGGTGAGAAAAGTTGGTTTTAAACCAAGGGCCCACGGGTGGAAGAGCAGGCAATGCTAACAAGGCTACTACTCTCGCATGCTGACTAGGTTATTAGTACTTCGAGACGGGGGTCATCATGTCGCTCGCAAGCTTTTAGGCCGAGCCTCTGATGCTATATTTCTGTGGTCTCTAAAAAATGCATTGTTGAATCTCACCTGGGCTGTATATGCGGTTACTGCAAACACCAAACTATTTTCCCTACTCCGTAGTTAAAGTTTCAACTCATGGAGAACTAAACCTATAATGCGTGTTGCTTTTGCGAGCTCACAAAAGCGTACTCCACTCAACCGAATGAAACCCGAAACCTGGGAAACTCCAAAACCTCCCCACAATGCCTAAAAGTATGCTATGCTCCGCAACGGTCGCAAACATCTAGGCGCGAAGCTAGCTAGGTAGTTTCTCACGTGCAGGATTTTTGGCGCCCAGATGTTAGCGAAAGAATATAAGAAATTAGTGTCTCGCAAAGATTCTGTCGTAAGGCTTCCGGGTTTCGGGGAAAAGACTGTTTTTCTGCGGAGAACTTAGTTGACTCCTAACCTGTAGCTACCCTCCTCTCCCTGGCTAATATCTGCCCTGACAATGAAGATTAAGGTGCTTTCGCGATCGGAAGAGCAGTTCACGCGCGAGCGAAAGCAAGATGTGACAGTGAGTCTCCATTCAACAGGTTCCGTTTAAATGTTGTCAGTGAGCAAGCTCAGGCTCGCAGGGAGCAACGGACATGGTCAAGGCGAGCGCATAAACACGGAGAACATCCGTAATCGTCGATAAGATACCAGAAATCTTAACGGACCAATTTGCCAGAATAGTCCCCTCTCTAACTGCTCGGTCCTGCCGTGAAGGCCGAAGGCTGCCAACGAGGTTTGAGACGTCTCAAAAGCGCGCGTCGCAATCCATACCCACGTGACGTCCGCGCTATAAGGCCGACGAATGATTGCGCGTACTTAACGCCACCATGATCCTCAGCGAGTCTCCGCCGATTTCACGAACTTTTCTCTCACCTCACACTATTTTCCTCGTTCTCAGAAAGTACACACCGGAATCTCGACCGAACGCTACACCCCCTTCGAACTCAGCAGGCGAAGGAGTACAGCGAACGCTCAACGCCGTGAAGCTCGATAAGGTGTTCGCCAAGCCTCACCTCAATCCCGCCCCCTTGCCTCACCCTACACCACCTCCACCCCCACTCCCCGCTCCCAGAAAGTACACCGGAATCTCGACCCAGCTCTCCACCCACTTGAGAAAGCGAAGGAGTATCAGCGAGCGCTCAACGCAGTGAAGCTCGATAAGGTGTTCGCCAAGCCGTTCATGGGCGCGCTAGGCAGCCACGCGGACGGCGTCTCCGCCATGGCGAGAAGCCCCGTCAGACTCAACTGCGTCGTTTCCGCCTCCATGGATGGGGGTGCGGTGAACCAGACCCTGAACCCTGATCCTTGACGTGTGAACCTTGAATTTTTCATCCTGGAACCTGAGCAATAACCATGAAGCCTACTTTTCACGACCGTTGAGGAAGCCCCTGCGATGCGGAGCAGCTAACAGCTGCGATGGCTTAGTAGCTACCACAGCTTAATTGAGTCGATGCAGCGAAGGGTTCAGGGTTCATGGCTGGGCATTCGAACCCTTCGCTGTTCACGGCCTACACGTGTTTTTTGAGAATTCTCAAAAAACATTCGAACCCTTCGCTGTTCACGGCCTACACGTGTTTTTTGAGAATTCTCAAAGAACATTCGAACCCTTCGCTGTTCACGGCCTACACGTGTTTTTTGAGAATTCTCAAAAAACATTCGAACCCTTCGCTGTTCACGGCCTACACGTGTTTTTTGAGAATTCTCAAAAAACATTCGAACCCTTTGCTGTTCACGGCCTACATCCGCGATTTGAGAGCTCGTGCCGCACTTTTTCCTGTTGTAGGCCTGCCTTGAACCCTAGATCCTGCTTCTCCTCTTTCTTTATGTTTTTTTCTGAAGCCTCGCAAACGCCTTCCTGTTAGCTTCTATCATCAATCCTCGTATCCCTCCGTTTCTTGCTCTCGCTTCCCCCACCAACCGTTCTTTCCCCTCTCTCCCTTGCTGTTCTTCCATCCCGCATATCCCTCTCTTTTCTCAGATGTACGCCTATGGGACGTCCCTTACAAGTGAGTTTTGTTACGTACACCCAACATAAGATGATGCTTGTAGCGCCATTAAGATTGTCCGGTGCACCAAAGTATGGTAGTGCGCGGCACGCGCGCGTCGTGCGCCTATATTGTCCCATTCAAACCCAAAGTCGTAACTATCGTCCCATCCAAACCCAAAGCACCTTCCCCTTCCATCTGCGTCTGTGTGATTCTTCATTTCTCCCTTCACCAGGCGCACGCTGTGCCGGTTTGTGGGGCACAGCAGGGCGGTGAGGGGCGTGGCCATATCAGCAGATGGGAAGACAATGCTGTCATGCGGCGATGACTGCACGTGAGTGTGACTGGGAGAAAGGGCAGTGCATGGGCGCAGTGCATGGGCGCAGTGCATGGGCGCAGTGCATGGGCGCAGTGCATGTGCTGTATGCCTCCGCTTGCCCTCCTTCTCCCTTAACGTTGCAGGGAGTTTTTGTGAATTCTCAAAAACTCCCTGAAAGAGGACAGTGCATGGGCGCAGTGCATGGGCGCAGTGCATGTGCTGTATGCCTCCGCTTGCCCTCCTTCTCCCTTAACGTTGCAGGGAGTTTTTGTGAATTCTCAAAAACTCCCTGAAAGAGGACAGTGCATGGGCGCAGTGCATGGGCGCAGTGCATGGGCGCAGTGCATGTGCTGTATGCCTCCGCTTGCCCTCCTTCTCCCTTAACGTTGCAGGGAGTTTTTGTGAATTCTCAAAAACTCCCTGAAAGAGGACAGTGCATGGGCGCAGTGCATGGGCGCAGTGCATGTGCTGTATGCCTCCGCTTGCCCTCCTCCTCCCTTAACCAACACACAGCGTGCGGCTGTGGCAGCTACCAGTGCGGAGATCAAGGATTCCACTCAAAAGTCACCTCGGGGCGCCATCTACTGCCGTGTTGCGCTAGCCGTCGCCTATCCTTTCCCCCCTCATCTTCCCCACCTCTCCCCATCCTTCTCCCCCATCTCCCACACACAGCGTGCGGCTGTGGCAGCTACCAGCGCCGGAGATCAAGGAGTTGGGGGTGGCAGGGGGGAGTTGGGGGTGGCAGGGGGGAGTTGGGGGTGGCAGGGGGGGACTCAGAAAAGTAGAGACGATCACCCCTCTATGTTCCGCTCCCCATTACCCCCATATCTCCACTTCACCCCCCCTCCCCTCCCCCATCTCCCACACACAGCGTGCGCCTATGGCAGCTACCAGCGCCGGAGATCAAGGAGTTGGGGGTGGCAGGGGGGGACGTGGAGCATGAGGCTGTTGCCACCTTCCAAGGGAAAAACGCCTTCAGGTGAGCCTTCAGGTGAATCTTCAGGTGAGCAGTGGACCACAAGTGGAAGGGCCTGGTGTCTGCCACAGCAGGAGCACAGGTGGACGTGTGCACGTGTGTGCCATCCGACAAGTGTTAGTTCACAGTTGTGCCATCCGACAAGTGTTAGTTCACAGTTGTGCCATCCGACAAGTGTTAGTTCACAGTTGTGCCATCCGACAAGTGTTAGTTCACAGTTGTGCCATCCGACAAGTGTTAGTTCACAGTTGTGCCATCCGACAAGTGTTAGTTCACAGTTGTGCCATCCGACAAGTGTTAGTTCACAGTTGTGCCATCCGACAAGTGTTAGTTCACAGTTGTGCCATCCGACAAGTGTTAGTTCACAGTTGTGCCATCCGACAAGTGTTAGTTCACAGTTGTGCCATCCGACAAGTGTTAGTTCACAGTTGTGCCATCCGACAAGTGTTAGTTCACAGTTGTGCCATCCGACAAGTGTTAGTTCACAGTTGTGCCATCCGACAAGTGTTAGTTCACAGTTGTGCCATCCGACAAGTGTTAGTTCACAGTTGTGCCATCCGACAAGTGTTAGTTCACAGTTGTGCCATCCGACAAGTGTTAGTTCACAGTTGTGCCATCCGACAAGTGTTAGTTCACAGTTGTGCCATCCGACAAGTGTTAGTTCACAGTTGTGCCATCCGACAAGTGTTAGTTCACAGTTGTGCCATCCGACAAGTGTTAGTTCACAGTTCACGCATTTCACATTTTCACCTCTGTTGTTGCACATTCTATTCCTGGCGTGCAGAGCAGTGGACCATAAGTGGAAGGGGCGAGTTTTTGCCACAGCAGGCGCGCAGGTGGACGTGTGGGAGCACAGTCGCTCGGACCCCATATCTACATTCACATGGGGCGCGGACTCTCTCTACTCTCTTCGCTTCAACCCCGCCGAGCCTGATGTTTTCGCTACTACCGGCAGGTGAGGGGAGGGAGGGGGCGGTGGCAGGGTTTGGGGGTGAGGCTGAGGTGGGGGATGAGGTGGGGGGTGAGGTGGGGGGTGAGGCTGAGGTGGGGGATGAGGTGGGGGGTGAGGTGGGGGGTGAGGCTGAGGTGGGGGATGAGGCTGAGGTGGGGGGTGAGGAGAGGTTTTTGAGAATTCGCAAAAATCACTCGCAAGGAGAGGGGGCATGGCAGGTCAGGAGAAATACAGATGAGCATATTCCTTTCATCGTTCATCCTGTCGAGATGAGACGATTTTTGAGTTGACTCAAAAATCGTTTCATGGCAGGTCAGGAGAAATACAGATGAGCATATTCCTTTCATCGTTCATCCTGTCGAGATGAGACGATTTTTGAGTTGACTCAAAAATCGTCTCATGGCAGGTCAGGAAAAATACAGATGAGCATATTCCTTTCATCGTTCATCCTGTCGACATGAGACGATTTTTGAGTTGACTCAAAAATCGTCTCATGGCAGGTCAGGAAAAATACAGATGAGCATATTCCTTTCATCGTTCATCCTGTCGACATGAGACGATTTTTGAGTTGACTCAAAAATCGTCTCATGGCAGGTCAGGAGAAATACAGATGAGCATATTCCTTTCATCGTTCATCCTGTCGAGATGAGACGATTTTTGAGTTGACTCAAAAATCGTCTCATGGCAGGTCAGGAGAAATACAGATAAGCATATTCCTTCCATCGTTCATCCTGTCTGCCCTGCCTGTCCATAGTGTTTCGCCTTGTGGAGCTTTTCTGAGAATTCTAAAACTACTTGTATTCAATTAAGGAAAAATAACCCTGCGACACCTTGTTGCAACACCTTGTTGCAACGCTTCTCCATTGGACCCTGCGGACTTCCACTCTACCTTTCTCGTCTTTCTTTCTTTCTTTCTTTCTTAGTTACTTACTTACCAACTTACTGTCTTCCTATCTTTCTTTCATTATCCTGCCGTTGTTCCCTGTGGGCTGCCCTTTGTGATCCACCAGTGATCGCAGCATTTGCCTGTACGACCTCCGCATGTCCACACCGTTGAGAAAAGTGATCATGCAGGTGAAGCAAGCCCAGGGGGATTAGAGGGGAGGAGAGGGGGAAGAGAGGGGAAGAGAGCTTACTGTTAGGGAAGTCTGTTGGACGAGTATTGGGGGGCGATGATGCTCCCGGTGATGCTCCTGGTGATGCTCCCGGTGATGCTCCCCTCTCTTTCCAGCGGCATCCTCGCATTCCACCTTGCGATGCAAAGTCCTCGCGTTTTTTCGATGTCCTCCCGGCTCTTCAATTTCAATGTCTTTCGATGTTCCTTGTTGTTTGTCTACGAAGTCTTCCAGTTGACCAGTTTTCAGTCACGTGAAAAGCTGTCTTCTCCCTTCCCTTATCCCTCCTCGCCTCCCCCCATCATTCACCTCCCCCTCCCACCATACAAGCGTGCCACACTGATGTTCTGCTCTCCATTTCCCTCCTCCCTATTCCCCTCCCTCGTTCCGTAGACCAAGACCAACTCGCTGGCGTGGAATCCGCGGGAGCCTCTCAACTTCACTGCGGTGAGTGTTGAGTGTTGGAGGGTAGGGATGATGTATGGTGGTGGGTGGTGATGTATGCTGCGCAGTGGTGTACTTTTGAGAATTCTCAAAAGTCACTCGAATATAGCTGGTGTACTGTAGTGAGTGAGAACGGCAACTGCTGCCCATACGACATGCGTAACCTATCACCCTTGTATGCCCTCAAACACCCACTCTCGCCTACCTTTTCTGCCTATCAATCTATCTGCTGCCCACCCCACCGCCCAGCCCACGGCCCGCCCCTGGCACGTGCTACCCATGTGGCATGCGCAACCTCAGTAACCTCGCATACTCAATTTCGCAACCTCACACACCCATTTCGCTCACTCACACGCATGCTCCTCCCGCTGTCCCCCACTGCCTCTGCCCGCGGCACACCCCAACCCCGGCAGGGGAATGAGAACGGCAGCTGCTACTCATATGACATGCGCAACCTCAGCACTGCTTCACTCGTACACAAAGACCACGTCTCCGCCGTGTGAGTGGCATGTGTTGGGGACACGAGTGTGAGATGAGACGAGCTGTTGAGGCAGCATAGCTGTAACCTCAGCACTGCTTCACTCGTACACAAAGACCACGTCTCCGCCGTGTGAGTGGCTGCGCCGTGTGCGTGTGAATGCCATGGGGCATGGGGCATGGGGCAGTGTGCATCCAGTTGTGTCCTCCTCAGCACCGCCTCCCTCGTGCACAAGGGCCATGTCTCTGCTGTGTGAGTGCTTGCTAGCATGAGTGGGGGCACGAGTGTGTTTGTGAGAAGAGCTCTTGAGGCGTCAAGGCTGTAACCCCTCAGCACCGCTTCCCTCGTACACAAAGGCCACGTCTCCGCCGCCGTGTGAGTGACTGCGCTGTGTGATCGGCTGTGTCCCCCCAACCCAACCCAACCCACTGAATCTCTCTCTCACGATCACCCCCCTCTCCTCGCTGCTCCTTCCTTTCTCATCCCCATTCCCCCATGTGCCTTCCCTTCCCCTCCACTACCCATCCACACCCCACGCTATCCCTTGCAACCACACCAGCATGGACATTGACTACCCGCCAACAGGAAGGGAATTCGTGACAGGGTCGTATATATGGGGCACCTAAAAGTAGACCCCACACCCCACCCCCACCCCCTTCCCCTGCTCCCCCACCACCAGCATGGACATTGACTACTCGCCAACAGGAAGGGAGTTCGTGACAGGGTCGTATGATAGAACGGTCAGTGTGCTGACATGCCATAGCCCCCCACTTCCTCCCTACCACATTCTCTCCCCTGCTCCCTCCCTCAGTCTCTCCCCCACTCCCTCCTCCCTCTCTCCCTCCCTCCATGCCCACCTCCTTTTATGCCCTTTTCTGGTCTGTTCTGAGAAGTTCTCCAAAAAAAAATTTACTGAGAGGTATCCTGCTCCAAGCGCATGTATCTGCTTGTCTTGCTGTTGCAAGCCTCTCGCCGCCTCTCCCTGATTTCAACATCCCCTCCGCCCCTCTTCCAGGTGCGGATATTCCCGTATGATGGCATCAAGAGCCGAGAGGTCTACCACACCAAGCGCATGCAACGGTAATCACCCCCGCCTGCCGCTGTGCTTTTCAATTGCATATGCTGGCGTTTGCCTTCACAACCGTCTTCTCTCTTTCTATTGCCCTGCAAGGCACTGACAACCTTCTCCTTTTCCTCCCTTCCCTTCACTCTCCTAGCCTGGAGGCTGTCGTTCTGCCCCTCCTCGCACTCTCTCTCCCTTTCTCGTTGGCAGCGTGTTCTGTGTGTGCTTCACCGGTTATGGATGGCTCCTACGAGCTGTCAGGAGCTGACTTTTGAGTCGACTCAATAGTCTTTCGAGTCGACTCAATAGTCTTTCGAGTCGACTCAATAGTCACCTCGTTACCATGGCACACGTTGGCAGCGTGTTCTGTGTGCGCTTCACCGGTGATGGATGGCTCTCACGTGCTGTCAGGAAATGACAACCTTCAGTCTCTTTCCTCTCCCTTCCTTTTCGCTTCTCTGTGCGTCTCAGGGTGTTCTGTGTGCGGTTCAGCGGCGACGGCTCATACGTACTGTCAGGCAGTGACGATGCCAACATCCGCCTCTGGAAAGCACAGGCCTCGCAGCAGCTCGGTGTGCAGGTGAGTGAGCTCTGCGGCATGATAGTCTTGCGCAGATGAGATGGGTGTGCAGGTGAGTGAGCTCTGCGGCATGATAGTCTTGCGCAGATGAGATGGGTGTGCAGGTGAGTGAGCTCTGCGGCATGATAGTCTTGCGCAGATGAGATGGGTGTGCAGGTGAGTGAGCTCTGCGGCATGATAGTCTTGCGCAGATGAGATGGGTGTGCAGGTGAGTGAGCTCTGCGGCATGATAGTCTTGCGCAGATGAGATGGGTGTGCAGTTGAGTGAGCTCTGCGGCATGATAGTCTTGCGCAGATGAGATGGGTGTGCAGGTGAGTGAGCTCTGCGGCATGATAGTCTTGCGCAGATGAGATGGGTGTGCAGGTGAGTGAGCTCTGCGGCATGATAGTCTTGCGCAGATGAGATGGGTGTGCAGTTGAGTGAGCTCTGCGGCATGATAGTCTTGCGCAGATGAGATGGGTGTGCAGGTGAGTGAGCTCTGCGGCATGATAGTCTTGCGCAGATGAGATGGGTGTGCAGGTGAGTGAGCTCTGCGGCATGATAGTCTTGCGCAGATGAGATGGGTGTGCAGGTGAGCTGCCATGGGTTCAGTGGCGACGGCTCGTACGTGCTGTCAGGCAGTGACGATGCCAACATCCGCCTCTGGAAAGCACAGGCCTCACAGCAGCTGGGCGTGCAGGTGAGATGCCTTGAGTGGTGGGCGCGGTAGATAGGCATGATAGGCATGGTAGGCGCCAACACCCCCTCTCTTCTTCTGCCCCGGTCACACTGTTGCGTTGCCTCACTCCTCCTCTTGTTCCCCCATCCCACTGCCGCTTGCTGCGTACCGCGGCCTGACAGGTGAAGCGGGAGAAGCGCAAGGCGGAGTACAACGCAGCACTGGTGGAGAGGCACCAACCAACACGTCCTCTCTCCCCTTGCCCCTGTCTCACTGCCCTCCATTCCACCATCACCTTGCCCTTGACCAGTGTTGCGTGCCCAGCAGGTGAAGCGGGAGAAGAGCAAGGTGAAGTACAATGCAGCGCTGGTGGAGAGGCACCTACACACCCTTTCCATGCGGCTTCATCCCACCATCCCTTAGCCGCTGTGCATGTGCCGCACCGAATTGCAGGTGAAGCAGGAGAAGCTTTGAGTCGACTCAAAACTCGACTTATCACGCACTTGTGCTGCACCGAATTGCTGGAGAAGCGCTTCGGTGCGGAGTACAACGCAGCACTGGTGGAGGGGCAACAACTTACACGCCCTCTCACTGCTCCTCCGTTTCACCACTCCCTTGCCCCCCTGTGTGCTCCTCGGACTGGCAGGTGAAGCGGGAGAAGCGCAAGGCAGAGTACAATGCAGCGCTGGTGGAGAGGCACCAACACCTGCCTGAGATTCGCCGCATCCACAAGTGCGTGGGGGAAAGGGAAGGGGGGCGGGGGGAAGGGGTCAGAAGAAGGGGGGAAGGGAAAGGAGGAAGGGAAGGGAGGGAAAGTGGGGTAGGAAGGGGAAAGTGGGGAGGAGGAAGAGGAAGCGGGCAAGGTTGGTGGGAAATGGGAGAAAGGTGGTGGACCATAGTTGTGTGCTCAGTGCCTGTTCAACTTCCCATTTTCGTATGTCCTCTCTTCTCCCACCTCTCACCTCCCCATTCTGTCCTCTCTCCTCTCACCTTCTATGTTCCTTCTCTCCCAGGCGCCGGCATATGCCGCGACATCAAGCTGTGTGCTATCTCACCTCCCACCTACCTCTCACCGCTCCCATCTTCCCTCTCACCTCTCACCCCTCACCTCCCGAATTGTTTGTTCCCTCCCCCAGGCACCGGCACGTGCCACGGCCAATTCACAACGCCATCAAGCTGCGGGCCACGATGGTGGCGGCAGAGAAGCGCAAGGAGGAGAACCGGCAGCGGTTCAAGAAGAAGAGCAAGGGCCTGGAGAAGAAGGACAATAAGAAGAAGGGCGAGCGCCGGAATAAGATCATTGCCGAGCTGGAGTAGGTGCAGGGAGCATTTACCTGTTTTATTCGTCTGTTCAGCGTTGTATGCACAGTTTCTTTCAGTAAAGTCTAAACATTTCTTTGGCCGCGCACACCCACCATGAATCAAGATGGTGTGGCAAGAAAAAAGCCTGTGACAGAGAAGGCAACAAATCGGAGAGCCTTTTGAAATAATATGTGATAAACTGCTGGAGTGAATCTGCAATCTGGTAATATGCTACATCCAACAAGAGGATATGATCCTAAATTGTTGCACTACGGATTGTCTTCACCCTATTAAGCTGAAATGAAACCGTGTTAGACTCCAAAAGGAGGATGAAAGTGGCGTCCCGCCTAATTTGAATCCGTGGTCGGTCTGACACAAGCACAAAACCTCGTCAACAACGCATGCTGATGGCGTGTCATCAGGTCATCACATCACTAAGACATTCACGGCATCTGGAGGCACGGGTGTGATTGGTTGTAAAGCTTGTAACGAACCATACCATAGTCAAATCATCCTGGATATTACTCTTAGCCCACATTACGGAACCTGATCCTTGGCTTGCCTTGTCATGACTGTCGCCTTCGCGGTCCGTCGCGGGACCGCGCGGCGTCAGTCGATTAACTCTCTCACGAGGAGCATTGCTCATCTCGGCTGGTTCCGTTCTCCCGAGTTAATTAGTACTTATCAAGTCATCCTTTCGCCACCCCATAGGAGAACTTCGGAGGAGGCTTGTAGCGGGGACACACCGTTGCTGCCGGCGTGCGGTGCAGATTCGCCGATCCGCGACGGTCTCGCCCGGAATCTTCACTCTCGCTTCTGTCACTCGCAATCGCGGACACGCGCGAAGCACTTATCCGCGATAGAGTATCGCTCGTCTAAGTTACGGACGGATTGGCGGGCTATTCACAGCGGGGATGGCGGAAGCAGTGGGGGGAACAGTAGCGGTCGGAATGTGACGGTTCCGTGCACCCCTCAGCAATACTTTGACCTTCTGTGCTCAGGTAACACCTCCCCCTGCTGTGCTTCTCAGGTAACACCTCCCCTTGCTGTGCTCAGGTTAAACCTCCCCCCGCTGTGAGAAGGAGAAGATGCTTCAGCCTTGCTCAGTTAACACCTCCCCCTGCTAAGGCAAGGAGCAACAGGGCAACAGCAAGGTAACATCTGCGGATGCTTCAGTTTTTCACTCCCAACCCTCCACTCACTCCCCTCCATCCTTGCTCAGAGCACCCCTTTCAGGTGTGTGAAGCAGGGGAGGCAGGCAGAGCGGTGGTGGCGACGAGGCAAATAGCAGAGGGGGAAGTGGTGCTGGCAACTGCTCCTGTTGTGTCACACCCCGCACTGCAACACGTTGGGAAGGTGGGCAAGCTTTGCCAAGTTCTTTGTAACCGGTCCGGGTGTGTGAAGCAGGGGAGGCAGGCAGGGCGGTGGTGGCAACGAGGCAAATAGCGGAGGGGGAGGTGGTGCTGGCAACTGCTCCTGTTGTGTCACACCCCACATTGGAACACGTTAGCAAGGTGGGTGAGTTAGTTGTTGTGAGGCGTTTCTACGGTTAGTGATGCAGACAGTTACCGCTGTTGTGTCACACCCCACCCGTTGAAACACGTTGGGAAGGTGCGCAAGCTTGGACATGCCGGCCATCACAACTTTATGGGCAACCTTGGGCATATTTCTTGGTATTTGTAGAGAGGGTGTTTTTGAGACGTCTCAAAAACACCCTCTCTACAGGCGGCCATCACAACTGTATGGGCATACTTGGCATATTTCTTAGTATTTTCGCCTCCCTTTCGAGGCTTCACGTCTCATCGTCCCTTTGTAACTCTCCCCCTTCTCATTTCCACATTATATTGGCACTTTCTACCACACTCCCACCACACTCCCACCACACCCGCACCACGCTCTTACCAGGTGTGCTACTTGTGTCTTGGGCCGCTGGCAGCAAAGCAAGAGCACCACACACATAGCGATGGAGGGGGGAGGGGGGATGAGCAAGGTGACTATAACGAGCGGCTGTTCTGCAGTAAAGCGTGTGCTGATGTGGCATGGGTAAGTGTACCCACACTGTGCGGACCACACACACGCAAGCGAGCGCCGTCAATGTCACCTGGTGAAAGCACCTAGTGCCAACACCTAGTTGCGGTGTTTCCGAGAGTTAGTGAAGCACAGTCTTGTCCATATCTTCACGTTTTTTTTTTCATTCAACTGTTCACATATGTCTTTTTTGAGGCCCACCCTCACTGCCCTGGCAGCATGACTTCTATGCCGTGGAGAGCACAGCTGTCTCTTCACTCGTTCGCTTGCCTGTATCCGAGTTAACCCGAACTTCACGCATGTCTCACATGCCGCCCCTCCCCTCGCCGCCCTGACAGCGTGACTTCTATGCCGTGGAGAGCACAGCCGTCTCTTCCCTCGCCTCCTGCATGCATGTCTCACGTTCCTCCTGCCTCCCCCACCCTCGCCGCCCTGGCAGCATGACTTCTATGCCGTGGAGAGCACAGCTGATTGGTCCGACCTGCATCAGCACTGCAGGTGAGGTGACTGCTGCAGGTGACTGTAGGTCAGTTGACTGTAGGTCAGTTGACTGTAGGTCAGTTGACTGTAGGTCAGGTGACTGTAGGTCAGTTGACTGTAGGTCAGGTGACTGTAGGTCAGGTGACTGTAGGTCAGGTGACTGTAGGTCAGGTGACTGCTGCAGGTCCATACCACATCCCCATCTGCATAGTAACCCGAATCCACTGCATCACCCCTACCAGGATCCACTCACTCCTCCTCCCTCTGGTGGCCAAGCGCCTAGCCTGCATGGTGCTGGCTGGTTGTGATCCTCACCCCATCCCCCCATCAACCCATCGTCCCAATCAACCCGTCCCCCTGTCTCCCCATCCCCCCCGCCCCGTCCCCTCTACCAGGACCAACTCGCTCCGCTTCCCTCTGGTGGCCAAGCGCCTAGCCTGCATGGTGCTGGCAGGAACTGCGTCTGCCAATGTGCTCCAGCCGCTGTGCCATGTGGCTGAGACTGGCAACAGTGCTGCCATCCCTGCTGTGGTGAGCCCATTACCCTTTGTTCTTCAAATAGTATGAGGTATGCTGCTGGCCGGCACTGCCTCTGCCAATGTGCTCCAGTCGCTGTGCCATGTCACGGAAAGCGCTGGGCCTGGCATGCCTGCTGTGGTGAGCTGCTTACACATTGTGATCTCAGCTAGAATGGGGCCTGCATGGTGTTGGCAGGAACTTAGGCTTAGAAGGGGTACATTAATAATGAGCTTGAAGCTCTTTAAGTACATCCAAGAAGGGGAGGGAATGGATGGGGAAGGGAATCGGGGGCAATCCATAGGGATTGGGGGTAATCCCAAGGCAATCTCCAATTGGTGGGTTGGAGATTGCTTGGAGATTACTTTTGGGTTTGGTTGGGATGTAGGTGTACACCCAACCAAACACAATGTGCAAACTACAGTACTCTAGGATATAGAAAATACAAAGTACAAAGTGTGAGATTGAAGGCTAACACTAACACCCCCCCCATAGGCGTCAATCGAACTCATGGTAGAGAGGGTGGTGCACAGAGCCCCATGGCGCCTAGGAGACGGTGGTGGGGAACTTTCCCAAGGGGCTTGGTGAACAGATCAGTCAGGTTGCAGTCAGATGCAACGTATTCCACTTTCAGCTGCTCGTGTTGGACAAGGTCACGGATGAAGAAGTGCCGAAGTTCAATATGCTTGGTGCGGGTGTGATACACAGGGTCTTGAGAGATGTGGATGGTACTCTGGTTGTCACACCAGAGGGTGGGGGCGGACTGTGGGAAACCAAGCTCCTGGAGTCGGAAGGTGAGCCTACGGGCCTCCTGAGCAGCCATGGTGCCTGCGTAGAGCTCTGCCTCACAGGAGGAGAGGGAGATTGCAGACGACCTGGTGGAGCGCCAACTGACAATTCCGCTCCCAAGGGTGAAGCAGTACCCCTGAGAGGAGCGTCGGTCGGTCTGGTCATCAGCCCAGGAGGAGTCGGTGTAACCTTCCAGGCGAGGAGGGGAGAGCCCACCGAGTGTGAGAACGTGAGACTTGGTGCCCTGAAGATAGCGCAGCACCCGCTTCGCCGCCTTCCAGTGAAGATCAGTGAAGCGTCCAGGGGCCACGTAGCGAGAGAGGACACTGACAGGATAGGCCAAGTCCGGTCGGGTGCACATCATGGCGTACATGAGGGACCCAACAAGCTCCGGGTATGGCTCAGAGCAGGCCTCTGGTGTGGGTACAGCTGGAGCAGCGAGGAGGTGTTGCAGCGGCAGCGGGGTGGCAACAGGTGTGCACAGCTCCATCTCAAACCGCTTGAGCACATTGTCGATGTAGGACTCCTGGGAGAGTGAAATGGTGCGAGCCTGGCGATCACGAGTGATCTCCATCCCCAGGTAGTGCTTGAGGTCACCGAGGTCTTTCATTTGGAGAGCCTTGCTCAGGGCTGCCTGGACAGAGGTCATCTGGGCCGAGTCCTTGGCAACGAGGATACAATCATCCACGTAGACCAGGATGTAGAATGGCTCAGAATGACGGCGGATGAAGAGAGTCGGGTCAGCAGTTGAAGGGTGGAAGTCCAGGGAGAGGAGGACTTCTTTCACCTTGTTGTGCCATTATCGAGGGGCTTGCTTAAGGCCGTAGACAGGGCGATTCAGCTTCCAGACAGTGTTGGGAGGGAATTCTCCTGGGAAGCCTTCTGGTTTGTCCATGAACATCGTCTCCTTGAGACGTCCTTGTAGGAAGGCGGATGAGGGATCCATGGATTTGATCTCAAAGTCTTCTCGAGTTGCGACATCCATGAGCGTACAAATGGTGGGAGGTTTGGATGTGGGGGAGAAGGTTAGGAAGAAGTCGCGGTACTGCTGCTGGGTGAAGCCCTTGGCTACGTAACGCGCTTTGAACACCGGGGCCTCGTCTGGGAGCTGTTTTACACGGAACAACCACTTGCCCCCGACGATGTTGACTCCTGGAGGTGGTGTCTCGTCGTCGAAGGAGTGGTTGCGGGTGAATGCTGCAATCTCCGCTTCCATGGCAGCACGCCATTCGGCAGCATGCCATTCGGCAGCATGAGGGCTTGAGAGAGCCTCTTGGACGGTGAGAGGGATAGGGATGGTCGGGTTCTCCGCGAAGTTGAGGGAGGGTGAGTCAGTGATGTCGGGGAAGATGTGCGAGAGCTGAGGAATGACTGCATGAAGATCACACAGCTCCTCATGCCTGTCTTCCAGAAGGGTAGAGGGCACATCCCTCCCAGCAGGAAGAGGCGGTGTGATCGCCGTGTATCGAAGAACCAGCGCTAGTGGAAGAGCCGCGCCATGCGAACGAGTGCCATGAACCACCGGAGAAGAGGGTGGGGCAGGCAGTGTCGGAGGGGTTGACTCAGGAGGCTTGGGCGGGGGAATGGGCCGCCGGTGATACGTGATCAGCTCGGGCGACTGTGGGAGAGCGGGTTCCTCTGTGGTGGGGGGAACCGGGGGAGGAGGTGGGGTCGGAGGGTGGGACCGCCGATGGTAGGTGATAGGTGCGCTCGGAGGTGGCTGCACAGTCGGCGGAGTGGGAAGTGAGGGGGATGGAGGAGCAGCTGCCGAAGACACCGGTGAGGGCGGGTCAGAGACCGCAGAGTGGTACGGTGCGGTGGCAGGAGGGGTAGGGGGTGAAGGGGCCGGAGCAGGTGAGAGGTCAGGAGGCGCATCAAAGTCTGCCCACACGAGGGAGGGTGGGTCAGGGAGAGGGTCCCGTCCCGAAGTGGAGTAGAATGGGCGGGTCTCATCAAAGACAACGTCGCGGCTCCGGACCAACTGCTGAGTGGAGGGATTGAGGAAGAGGTAGTCAGGCGAGTCGGCGTTGTGTCCGAGGTAGATGCATGTCTGGGTCTTGGGACCGAGCTTGCCGCCGTGGTGCCGTCAAGCCTGAGGGTTGAGGAGGACATAGGTGGTGCACCCCCAAACGCGAAGAGAGTGAGCAGTGGGCGTTTTCTCGAGCCAGAGTGTGGTTGGAGTGGTGTCGGGAAGATGCGGGTGGGGGTATAGGTTGTAAAGGAGGGCGGCGTGGTAGAGAGCGTACCCCCAGAGAGAGTGTGGAGCGTTGGAGTGGCTGAGGAGGCACCAAGTGATCTGCACCAGGGTGTGGTTGCGGCTCTCAGCTATGCCGTTCTGCTGCGGGCTGTCAGGGAGGGTGAAGTTTTGCTGGATGCCTTCTGAGGAGCAGAAGGCTTTGAGCTTGTCGTTGCAAAACTCACCACCACCATCTGAGTGGGGGCGCTTGACTTTGCGGTCAAAGGCGGTCTGTGCCTGTTTAACCCACGCCATGAGGACCTCTGGAACCGCAGCCTTAGTGTGGAGGAGGTGAACAGAGACGTAGCGAGAGTCGTCATCGACGATAACAAGGAAGTAGCGATAACCACCTCGTGCGGGAACAGGGGCAGGGCCCCAGACGTCCAGGTGTACCAGGTCCAGTGGTCCTGCTGCGACAGAGGGTGAGGCCGGGTGGGGCTGTTGACGCAGTTTGCTCTTGGTGCAGTCAAAGCACGTGGGAGCGAGGGAGTCTGGTGGTGGAGGAAGTGAGGCTGGCAGGCCGAGTAGAAGTTTTTTGGAGGCCATGTCAGCAAGTGTGCGGAAGTTTGGGTGCCCGAGCCGATGGTGGTAGAGTATGGTCGGGTTGGAGAAACTGCGGCACGAACATGGTGAGGTAGTCGCCGCTGTGATGGGTACTTGCAGCGTGTAAAGGCCGCTGCTGTTGAGGGTGAAACGAGTCAAGACCTTGTTGGTGAGTGGGTCGAGTATATCACCATAGTTCTCGTTCTCTCAGAAGATGGTGCGTAGTCCAGCTTCCTGAATTTCCGTTTGGGCCACGAGATTGTGGCGGAGTGAAGGCACGCACATTCCAGTGACAGTGCCGGAAGGGAAGGCTGGGCACGGGACTGTGGATGAACCCTTGGCATGAGTGGTGAAGCTTGAGTCAGCTCCTAGGAGAGGGATGGGTGTTGCGTAGGGTTTGAAGGAGAGTGTCTCCTTGAGTACACAGTGTGTGGCGCCGCTGTCGAGTGTGAGCTCTATGTATTGTGGTGCTTGTGATGAGCCGAGGTACTGGGAGGAAGCTTCATTAATCATGGCAGTGCCAGAGAACAACAGGCTGATACGGGCATCAGCAGGAGCACTATCACTAGCACTAGCCGAAGCGGGGTCCTGGACCTCAACCAGGTTGGCCTTACGCGCACGCATCCAGTTCGGTGGCCTCTTGTCTATGTCGTGGATGGCGTACCATTCGTCGTCCTTCTTCTTGAAGCACGTAGCAAGGGGGTGGCTAGTGCCACCACACACTTGTCCCTTGCGGTTCCCATACTTGACGACGTAGGTGCACCGTGGGAAGCGGTTGCGCTGGAGGGGCGCCGAGGCAAGGGCCGATTCGACACTGGCTTGAGGCATGGGAGCACGGATGGCGTAAGCCTTGGCCTGAGCCGTAGAGTCTTTCTTGGCAAAAAGGAGTGCGGTGGAGACCTTGGCAAAAGTGAGGTCTTCCGCAGTCAGTGTGAGGAGCATCTTCCTTGTGATTTCATAGGTTGTGGTGAGACCAACGAGAAGAGCTGCTGCAGGGGCCTGTTCGGGGAAGACTATACCCAGCTCCTTGAGTTCGCCATGAATGGTCTGAACCTTGGCAATGTAGTCGGCCATTCCCGAGCAATCCTCAAGGCGGACCTGGAACATGCTGGGGATGAGGATGGCAACTCCGACTGCAGTCTTGTTCATAAACCGATCCTGAAGATACTTCCAGATGGCGTTGGAGGTAGGGTAGTTATGGAACGTGTTGACAAGTTCTGGAGGGGTGGAGGCGATGAAGACGCTGATAATTGCAGCATCGGCCTTCTCCCACTTCCGGTACTTCTCAACGGCTTCCTCATATGCCTTTGTGTCAGCCTCACTAGCGGATTCGGTCGGCTCGCGAGGGAGAAGGGGCTGTTTCCCCTTGCCACGGTTGAGGAGGACATCCTTGAGGTCCAATCCCTGCTTGTCACGGCTCAGCAGGTGCTTGTCAACCCCATAGCTCCATGCCTTGAAGTTGGAGCTAGAGCCATCGGCGTCAAGACAGAGTGGGGTGATGGGGTTGGCCATGGTGGACGAGGCGAATGCCATGATGGAGACCCCTTAGGGTGTCGCGCGGAGTGCCGCTCTTGAGTCAACGATAGGAACTTGAGGTTTGGGGTTTTCGAAGGAGATTTTGAAGAGCCGGAGGTTTAGGGTTTACGAAAGAGAATTTTGAGGTTTAGGGTTTCTGAAGGAGAATTCGACTGAAACGCCAATTTAGTGTCAACTACCTACTAATCATATTCCCACACACCCCCCCACACACCACCCTCAGCTTCTCGGCTGCGCTGCTGCTCGGCTTCGCGGCTACACGGCTGCTCGGCTTCGCTGCTGCTCGGCTGCGCTGCTGCACCTGTTCAGCTGCGGGAAAGGGAGGGGGATGGGGGTAGGAGTGCAGATGCGGGGCGATGGGCGGCAGCCCGAAGGTGAAGCTGCAGGGCGACGGGCGACAGCCCGACGAGGTATCATGATCCGCGTGTGCGGTTTGAAGGGCTCTGATACCATCTTAGAACTTAGGCTTAGAAAGGATACATTAGTAATGAGCTTGAAGCTCTTTAAGTACATCCAAGAAGGGGAGGGAATGGATGGGGAAGGGAATCGGGGGCAATCCTTAGGGATTGAGGGTAATCCCAAGGCAATCTCCAATTGGTGGGTTGGAGATTGCTTGGAGATTACATTTGGGTTTGGTTGGGATGTAGGTGTACACCCAACCAAACACAATGTGCAAACTACACTACTCTAGGATATAGAAAATACAAAGTACAAAGTGTGAGATTGAAGGCTAACACTAACAGCCTGCTGTGGTGAGCTGCTTACTTATTGTGATCTCAGCTAGAATGGGGCCTGCATGGTGCTGGCAGGAACTGCCTCTGCCAATGTGCTCCAGCCGCTGTGCCATGTGGCTGACACCGGCGACGGTGCTGCCGTCCCTGCTGTGGTGGGCTTCTTGCCCTTTGTTCCTCAGATAGAATGCTGTCTGCATGCTGCTGGCCGGCACTGCCTCTGCCAATGTGCTCCAGCCGCTGGGCCATGCCAACGAGGTAATATATGCCCACTCCCAGGGTGTGGCAGCGTGCACCCCATATCTTTGGGGTTGACAAGCAAGACCGGCACGTGGGGTTGAACCCGAACCCACTCGCTTCGGAAGTGACCCAACTAACAGCTGAACCACTTCAGTCGTGTTTTAAGTTGACTCAAAACAGTGACCCAACTAACAGCTGAGCCACTTCAGTCGTGTTTTAAGTTGACTCAAATCAGTGACCCAATCAACAGCTAAGCCACTTCAGGATGGGCAACATTGTTACAAGAGTTCAGGATGAGCATAGATCATGCTCTTGTCCTCGCTTGCGAGAAGTCGCATGCTAACGCAACTGTAACCACCGTGCTGCGCTGCCTCTCCCACTCACTCTCTCCTCTCCCCTCTCTTTTCTCGCCTCCCTCTCCACTCTCCGCGCCAGTGGCAGCAAGAGCATGCATACATCTACTCTGCGCTCTCCTCTCTCCTCACAACAGCACAGGCAGCAGGGCAGGGCACAGTCCGCTCCCTTTCATGTGCGTGACGTGAGAATGATGCTCTTGATTACATGCTCGCATGCTTTTATGCCCACAGTCCCACATGCTCACATGCTGACCAACAAGCTCACATACATGCCATATGCTCACTTGCTCATATCTCGTTTCTCATCCCCCAGCTCCCATCCCAATGGAGCCCCAAGTAGGAGCCATGGCTTGCGTGGCAGCGGCTGCTTTAGCAAACAGTTGCTTTGGTTAGTTTTTGCTTGCTTTTAAAAACCTTTGTGTAAGAAAACCTTCGTTTCTCATCCCCCAGCTCCCATCCCTCGAGGTGACTTTTGAGTCGACTCAAAAGTCACCTCGTTGCCATATGCTCACTTGCTCATATCTCGTTTCTCATCCCCCAGCTCCCATCCCTCATCCCCCGTCACTGCTTTTCCTTCGGATACCCCTCTAAGCCCCGTCACTGCTTTTCCTTCGTATCTCCCGTCACTGCTCTAAGCCCTGCATTTCTCTGATCCCCTAAACTCTCTCCCCACCAGTCTTCACCGCTCACTGGTACGCCTCTCTCCTAGCGCGCCTGCATCTCAACGCCTTCCGCCTCGCGCCGCTCCTCTCTGTCACCACCACTGCAGCAGCGGCTGACCACTCTCTCTTCGACTCAACCATGCCAGACGGCATCTTGCTCTCCTCGGCTGCACTCTTTCGAGCAGCGAGTGCAGCAGTGACGGGCGACGAGGCGGTCGGTACGGGGGTGTACCTCCTTCCTTCCTTGTTCAACCATGACTGCGGTGGGTGCTCTTAGCTTGATGCCTGCAACAAGCAGAGCACGCAGACACAGACACGGGGGTGTACCTCCTTGCTTCCTTTCTCAACCATGACTGCGGTGCGTGCTCTCTGTTTGGTGCGTGCTCTCTGTTTGGTGCGTGCTCTCTGTTTGGTGCGTGCTCTCTGTTTGGTGCGTGCTCTCTGTTTGGTGCGTGCTCTCTGTTTGGTGCGTGCTCTCTGTTTGGTGCGTGCTCTCTGTTTGGTGCGTGTACCGACTCTGAGTGGCGAGTGCTACAGTGGCGGGGGTCGGCACGGGGGTGTACCTCCTTCCTTCCTTTTTCAACCACGACTGCGGTGCATGCTCTCTGTTTGGTGTGCGGACCTACTCTTGTGGTGCCTCAACTCTCCACAGCAGCACTCTTCCGAGCAGCGAGTGTGGCGGTGGCGGGGGATGAGGCGGTCGGTACGGAGGTTTATCTTCTTCTTCCTTCTTTTTCCAGCCATGACTGAAGTGCGTGCGTGTCCTGTGAGGCATGCTCGGGTCTATTCTTGAGGCGCCTCAACCACCCTCTCTGCTCACGTACTTACCCCTCCGCCCATCCACCCCTCCAACCGTCCATTACCCAGACCCCAATCTGGACATCTCATGGCCCACTGACACTACAGCCACGCTCCAAGATGCTCTCATGGTCACATGCTTTCCCGTGGATCCATCCACCCGTGCACCCATCTACCCCCCCCATTGCCAGACCCCGATCTGGACATCTCATGGCCCACTGACGCTACAGCCGTGCTCCGAGCCAGACGGGATATCGAAGCTGGTGAGGCTGTGCTGTATGGATTCCTCATCTGTTGAGATAAGATAAGTCTACTGTATTGCTCCTCTTGTTCTCTGTATCTCCTGCTGCTGTATCTCCTGCTGCTGCTGCTGCTGCTGATGATGATGATGATGATGATGATGATGATGATGATGATGATGATGATGATGATGATGATGATGATGATGATGATGATGATGATGATGATGATGATGATGATGATGATGATGATGATGATGATGATGATGATGATGATGATGATGATGATGATGATGATGATGATGATGATGATGATGATGATGATGATGATGATGATGATGATGATGATGATGATGATGATGATGATGAGGCTGATGCTGATGATGCTGAGGCTGATGCTCCTGCTGCTCATTACCGACCGTATCTGCCACCCCACATGCCCATACCTCCAGGAGAGCACCTCACAATAACGTACCTGGACAGCAGCCTCGGGAGGGAGGCTCGGCAGAGGCATCTGAAAGGGGCGTATGGGTTTCACTGCACGTGCCAGCGCTGCCAGCAAGGGGACCTGTAGATAACTGGTATGACCATTGTAGGCGACCTTTGGTTGGTACGGTAGATATCGTCGCGTGTTGATTTGAATGAACAGAAAGCATATTCATTCATTCGTTTGCACCGAAAGTGGTAGTCTCTAATAAGGAGCTCGGCAGAGGCATCTGTATGAGGCATATGGATTGCTGCTGCACTGCACCCGCCAATGCTGCCAGCGAAGGAATCCAATAGCTGACCCATAGTCGGTCTGGTGGTGCGTATGGTATGCCTTGACCAAAAATATTTTGTAAAAAGATGTTGGTGCTTAGATGGTGCTCCCTGGAGTGTTCTGGAGTGTTTTTTATTCGAAAAAAAATATATTCTGCACTACAAGAGTTGCATCCACATACTGCATTTCTAATGGTCACCACAATCACACGCATCAGCAGCTGAAGTAGTGCAAGTCATCATCCATCAATTGACCCATCAGCCTCGAAGGGTCATGTCCTCCTCCTAACCCTGCTAGGCCTCCTCCCAAACCTCCTCCTAAGCCTCCTGCTATCCCTCCAGCTATCCCTCCTGCCATTGTTGCAGCAGCATCACCCATCCCGAACATGTTCTCATGACCATCAACACCACCAGCACCAGCAGCAGCACCACCGCCGCTGCCGCCACTGCCACTGGCGCCGTTGCTGCCACCATAACACCCCATCATGCCCCCATCCCACATACCCAACTCATCAGCACCCCCCCCACCACCAATCGCACACTCCTCTCCTGCCAGTTTCTCAAACCCACCGAACTGGCCCACACCAGCAGCAGCACCACTCCCCTCCGCCCCGTCAGCTTCATCCCGAACCTCCGCCATAGGCTCGGTCATGGTCCGGCCGAGCGTGCGCTCGCCAGGCACCAAGGCTTGGAGGTCCGACAAGGCTCGGCGCTTCATCCTGGTTTGGAGCTGGCCCTTGGCCCACGATCCAACGGTTGCGATCAACTCCTCCTGCTGCTGCTGCTGGGCGATTATAGCAGCGAGGCGCGGCGAGATGGCGGGAGCAGCAGGAGAAGCAGGCGTGGCAGAAGGGAGGAGAACGGACGGACGAGTGAATTGGTTACTTGCGGAGTTACCAGTGCTGCTACTCTTGCTGACGCCCCCGATGTTGCTCAAGCCTGTGTTGCTCAGAGCATGGCTGCTGCTGATGTTGCTCACTCGGTTGTGGTTGTTGCTCACTGCATCATTGCTTGATGTCATGCTTCCGATGCCCCCGTCGCTCCCCGTTTTCTCACCTGCTTCACCGACGCTTGACAGCCCAGCTTTCTCCTCTCCCAGTCGCGCCATCTGCTGTTGCTGCTGCTGCTGGTGTTGCTGCTGCTGCTGCTCGTGTTCCTGCAACTGCTTGTGTAATTCATCTCCGTGTTGCTGCTGCTCCTGAAGCTGCCTCTGCAGCTGCAGCTGCTGACGGTTCAGCTCTCTCCTCCGCTTCTCCAACTGTTGATGCTGGCTCGGATGCTGCTGCTGCTGTTGCTGCTGCTGCTGTTGCTGTTGCTGCTGCTGCTGCTGCTGCTGCTGCTGTCGCATCTCCTCTCCCTGCTGCTGCTGCTGCTGCTGCTGTTGCTGCTGATTAATAGCAATGCCACCAGCCATGCTGCTGTAAGCCGGGTAGGGATGGCCCATGGGGGGCATGTGGAAGGCGTACGGATGGGCAGAGGCATGCACTGCATGTGCTGCATGTGCTGCATGTGCGGCATGGGCCGCATGTGCCATGTGATGGTGGTGCATGGATGGTGGTCCCATTCCTGCCATACCCATCATGTTGCCGGGCTGCCCGAACATCATCCCTGGAAACATTTCTCCGAACTGCCCGCTGCCCGGGGCAGCTCCTGTCGGCAGGCCAATGGCAGGAGGCGGGTGAAAGGAATCACCCGGAAAGCTTCCTTGTCTCAATAACTGAGCTTGATGCTGATGGTGCTGCTGCTGCTGCTGGTACTGCTGCTGGTGCTGCTGGTGGTTGTTGTAAGGGAAATTCGGGTGGGATACTGGCTGTGCAGCAGCAGCAGGCTCTGCAGCAGGAGTGGCAGGAGCGGGAGGGGCACGGGAGGAGTTTGAGAGCCTTGACTTGGATTGACTCTGCTGACCGTGCTGCTGCATGCTCGCCTTGATGGCGGCGGCTGTAGCAGCCGCGGACGCGAACGCGGCAGGGTCCTTGCCAGACGGCTTGCTGCTGCCGCCACCACTCGCTACAGCCGAACCACCAGCAGAACCAGCCACACCAGCAGCGCCGGCGGCGGTGGCGGGATTTCCAGAAGGAAGGAAGGAGGAGGCACTCGCGCTCCTGCGAATGGGGCAGCTGCTGCCACCACCGGTGTTAGCACCACCGGTGTGAGCACCAGTGACGCCAGCAGCGCCAGCAGGAGCAGGGGAGCTCGAACCTGCGAGCTTCGGGCGGAACGGGCAGGAGGCTTGGTGAAGGTTCCGGGCGTTGCGGTCAGCAAAGGCGTTGCTCCACTGGTGCTTCGGGCAGCGGTCGAACGGGCAGAGAAAAACCCGGTGCTCAGGAGCCAAAGACCCCGCACCCTGTGTGAGCGAAGCAGCAGCAGCGGCCGCGGCAGAAGCGGCAGAAGCGTTGGTGAGGTTGCTTGTACTGGAGAACACAGTAGCGGGGATGTTCAAAATTTCTTGCTCCGTCTTGACTCTGCTAGCCGAACGGCCAGGTGCTTCAGGCGCGTACTCGTCGTAGTCCGCCCCGTTACCAGCCGCGGATAATTTAAAGCTCCGCTTATCCTCCCCCGCTTCAATCGCGCCGGCGCGCATCTTTCCGCTCATAATTTCCGCCAGAAGCGCGTTCGTGTCCACGCCCGTCAAGTCCGCTCCGCGGATCCCTCCACCAATTCCGCCGGTAATTCCGCCGTCGCGCTCAAACGCACCCGCGCCGGGGGTTCTTACGGGCGATCCGGCAGCGAACGGGTCGAATTTCGCAGCGTCTTCGAGCCGCCCTTGCGCTTTGAGAATTTCCGCCTCTTCCTGGTCGAGCACGGCGTTCCACGTGGCACTCTCCCGCGCCGTCATCTTATCCTGCAGGCACTTGCTCTGACGAACCAGCTTCCGAATGCGCGCCACGTCAGGACACAGATGCCGAATCACTGACGTCAGCACGCCCACTTTCCACGCCTTCTTCAAATCGTGCGGTTTCTTGTACGGCGGCGGGCCGGTGCCACGTGTCAGCCCCAGCTGCGGCCACCATTGCTCCTCCCCGGACGGCCACCAGGGCGGCGGAACGCCCTTTTCGAGCGGAAATCTCCGCTGCGGGGGATCGCAGTGCTGCATCAGCGCCGAGAGAAGCGATCCCAGCGTCGTATCCTGCAGCTCCTGCAGCGTCTGCGGCGTCGCGAGCGCAGAAACCATCCCGCTCCCGCCAATTCCGCCAGCGCCGGGGACCATCCCGCCGGGAAACACGCTACCGTTCCCCCCGGCAGCAGCGGCGGCGGCGGCGGAAGAAGCGGCGGCCTGCTCCGCGTTGTAGCGCGCAATCGCCGCGGGGCCGTTGCGGTCGAAGCGCACCTTGTCCTTCCACCACGCGCGCAGATTGTCGGAGCTTCCGCCAACTGGCTTCCCCTTTTCGGGAATAATTCCGTACACGAAGCCCTGCGCGTTACACACCTCCATCATTTTGAGCATGTATTTAAGTATGCCGTCGTGCGCGCGCGACATCTTTTTCCGCCGCGCCTGGTCCTGCTGCGACTGCCGCTGCCGCGTCTTCTGCTCGTCCTCGCCCGCCGCGTCCTTCGGCGCATCCCCCGCCGCGTCTCCCGCCGCATCTCTCGCCTCATCTGCCGGAGTCGTCATCTCGCCGTCTTTCGCTTTCTGGCCATCCTTGATTCGCTTCAGCTTCAGGCGATCCTTCCACATGCGACGCTCCAATTCGTCGACGTCAAACTCGTCGTCGGAGAAGCAGTCGCCGAAGTCGCAGGCGTCGCCTGCGATGAAATCCGCCATGTCGCCAAGATCGAGCTGACCGTTGATTAAGATTTCCGATTCCATCTTCTTGATTGAAGGAGCTGACTGCTGGAGAAGCAGACTTATTTTCAATCACTAAGGTTGAAACAGTCGAGTCGGCTCATATAAACCCTGGATGAACGGTAACTCGCTAATACACCTCCGCGATCTGGTACGTGAAATGTCCTCGAGCCTCGGAGCAGGAGCGGGTGACGCGGCGACACGTGGCACACCGGCCTGATAGGCTCACAGAGTGTGGCTGGAAAGGATGTTCCCAGAATTGTTCCGAGAATTTTAATATCCCGACAGAAAGAACTGGAGAAGTCTTTCAAAGCTGGTGGGATATGGCGGGAAGATGAGCTGCTTTAGGGAATCGATGCTGACGGAGTGAGGAAGCAGCGAAAATTGGTTTCAGAGACAAACTTCGACTCATAAGCGATCGCTAAGCGGCCAGCAGTTAGAACATCCTAGTTTCGAATCACTTGATTTCGATTTGACACTGGAATTGCTGTCTGACAGAGTGTGGAGCGCAATACTGAATGGCTGAAGTAGTGATGCAAAACCGGTGCTAGCAGGATGAGGTCGAGAGCAGCCGACGAGCACGAGGAGCGAGTTATAGCACAGACAATAGATGCTGGTGCTCACAAGAGAGATCTCTATTGACTAATATTCGTCCTCTCTGGGCCAGTCATATTCTCGCGTCAGGAATCCGGCAGCGCGACTATGGCGAACTGGGGTGGTTATGAACAGAAGATAAGATTACAAGCGACAAGAAAGATGGCGGTGGTGAGGGAAGGCGAGGCGAGCTTGTGTGACTGGCTGATGGGAGAAGAAAGGAAGTGGTTGAAGATCGTTGTGGCAGTCCCAGGCTTGAGGGCTGCCCCGGTTTGTGGCTGTAAGAGCGCTCCTCTGAGTCTCAAGAGCTGAGGGATGTGAGGGATGATGGTGCAAGGAAGGAAGCTAAATGGGTGGCTTTGAGATGATTCGCTGTGACAGCGCGATTTACACTCGTGGCGCTGGGAGCTGTTCAGGGCTGGAAGGAGGGGACGCGCTGCGCATGCGCTGTGAGCCTCAGGAAGTCATTAGTCAATTGCTAAGGACGACAGAGGAAGAGAGCGAGAGGAGAGGGGAGAAAGGAGCGTAGGAAGAGAAGTGAAAAAGGGCGTTCAGCTCCTTCCCCTCCACCACTCATCCTTCCACTTGGGCAATTTCCACGACTTGGAAAAGTCGAATCCATAGCTCGAGCGAATTGGACAAGCGAACAGCAAACTGCAGTGCGTGTGTGGCTGCAAGGAGGACGTTTCTCCTTGGCCACTGACGAAGTGGATAGGGATTGCGAAAAGGTGTCAAGTTGGTGGGGGTAAGATCGAACCACTGCTTACCTAACACATCAGCATCCGCAAATCCTGAGAAATGCGCCAATTGGGCGATTCAACAGAATCTGACCACATTTGCTGATTATTTCCTAGGTTGAAGTTCGAGATTTGAGCAAGGTACACGTCAGCCCTTGTAATATCAAGATCACTCATACCCACACGTTTGGTCAGCTAGAGCGCAGAAACTCCAAAATTCACCGAAGCAGAGAGCACACGCGAACAGCGAATGGTGGGAGCTGCCTTGTCAAGAACCACCCACCCATTGGGAACAGTCTTGCTGATCTGGCCAATACAGTGAGAGCTAGGAGCAAGCCATCTGGTTTGGAACGAATGGAAAAAAATGTTTTTGAAAGAATAAATGATTTCGCAGGCTGGGTAAAAAACTAACTGTTTTACCTAAGCTGCTTGATTTCCATCGTGTAGCCCTTCAGTGTGTGTCAGAGGAAGTCTTGGTCGTTTGAATACAGTAAATGTCAGAAGTCATGACATTCTGCTCGTGGTGAAAAGTGAACTTTGAAGGCCAGCTGGAAAACACATTCCCCGCCCCAGAAGCAGCACCTGAACTTGGCAGCTGAAGCTGTTGACGCACGCCCACGCAAGCGTGAACAATCGCATTCAAATGGCGGTGGGTAGGGTGGGTAGCAAGAGAGCGAATTTTCGCCAAGAAAGCACAGCTTCCTCTGTTCCTCATCGTGCTGCTATTACCGCGTCAAACATCTTGCATTTATACACCAAGCACAAACAGACATTATTACACTTCTCCTTCGCATGCTTTACAACCCAGAAACAGACAAACAAAACATAACAAACTTTGAATATAGTACTTCTTTACGCACCATATCTTGCTAAACAGAAGTAGTGCTGAAGATTCTACACACACACCCGCAGTCAGTCTTCAATAGTCAATAATTCAGTCCTCTCTGCCTCCTCCCACTTCACTACATATAAACACATTAACTCACATTCCAATCCAACCCCCCAACCCCAACCCAACCCCACACCCCCATCCTTCCCCCACCCCCTCCTCCCACTTCACACACAAAGACTCAACTTCCCCTTTCCACCTGTTTCCCACCCCCCTTTCCCCTCCCCCCTCTTATGCACACAGAGCAGCGTACATTGACACATGGGATGCGACTCCCCGCATCCCTCCCCTCCACACGGAGCAATCTGTCACTAATCTCCGCCTCCGCCTCAGCCTCCCCCTCCATCTCCTCCTCCGCCACCACCGCCTCCATCTCCCCCACCTCCACATCCGCCAGAGTCCCCTCCCCCCCAACCTCCCCCGGAATCACCGCCCCACCAACCTCCACCGGAATCACCTCCCCCGGTATCACATCCCCCTGAATCACCCCATCCGCCGAACCATCCACCCCCTCCACTATCCCCGCACTCATCCGCCCCTGCCGCGTACGCATTCCCGCAGCATTCGACTGCCGCATCCTCGCAACAGTCAGTCCCGATATCGAGGGCGAGAAAAGCCGCCGCGTCGAACGACAGGCTCCTACTGTGATGGTGGCGATGGTGGGGATGGTGACCGCTCGTTCGCACAGTTCGGCCTTTGACGTGCGGCGCTTTCCCCTCGCGGTACAGCGGCAGCGCGGGGGGCACTTGGGAGAACGTATCGTAATCAGGAGTTCCCTTTTGAGGCGCAAAGGTCGGCTTATCCACCGTCAACGCGACTTTCACCTCCCCTGCAAACGAAGCACTCCGAAAGCGGACACGGGAGAGCTTGCACGTGGCAGAATACGGGGCGCCATAGTTTCGAATAGCTGGCTCCAGAAGGAATACGGCGAAGCCTAAACATTTGCGCCGCGATTTCGACTTGAAGACTTCGATTAACGCGAACGGGTAGAAGTTGGTTTCGCGCCCGTTTAAATGAGCTGGCGCGTACGGCTCGACGGAAAGAAGCGCTTCGTCGACCAAGAACTTAATGATGGCATTGTTCCAGGAGGCATGCGAACCCCCCTGAAACGCGGGACCAAAGGGCTGGCGGTGCTTGGTGTTGCCGTACATGCACACTGTCGCGTATGGCATAAGCGGGCGGAAGCATGAGGTATCGCGCAGACCACTCGCAGATTCTAATCGAAACTCGACAAGCGCCTTGGGCTTACCATCGTCTGCCATTTTCGCTCTTCAGTTCAGGGAGTTAGTAACGAAGCAGGCAAGCCAAGAGCTGTGCTCAGGAAACGAAGGGGGGGAATCAAGAGTATATAATTTTCCGGAAATGCAAGATTTCAGATTCAGATGCGGCTTTATGCTATTTTGTGCTCAGCCCCCAGCTTGTGTTGCTTCAATCTCCTAACTCATGGCACGAAGCGAATGCACTCGCCGAGCCTTCCTGAAACTGCAGCTGGAGCGTTCTTTCGGCGTGCCGTAACGTTTCGTCCTCGTCGCCCTAGACTGCCGCGTGGGCTAAACATTGCAGGGGGGTACTTATCAAATCCTCAGCGAGAACATATTCGTTTGATTGTAACCGTCAAGCGACACTGGTGAAACGCAACCCCATTAGCTTCTTGCGAAGGAAACCATCGGCGAAATCAAATATGTTACCGTGGTATGTTACACATACGAGTGCTGGATATGACATTTTCGTGCTGAACTGGTGCCAATCGAAACTCACCGCTGAGATGTGAAAATGTGAGGCGCGAATTTGTTTCTTCACGTCCGTGGGCTGCGAAAGCCCTTGCGACTGCCATGCTGGAATTTACAGATGCTGGCGCGAAAAAAAGCCTTCACGCACCCCCTCAATGACAGCTCATGAGTTCGCAAGCGACTGGGTGCGCCACCACCGGCACCACTCAAACGAGGGTAACCGACAGTCGACCGACACCCATGCGACGATGTGTCACAATCTGCGCGCCTCGAATCTGGCACTTCTTTGAACCGGAGGGGAAACATTTGGCCAGTGTTTCCCCTCCCTCGATAAATCTGAATTTCTGCGACCTTGTTTCAGCTCTCACTCATTCCTTCGCCAGCAAAATAAACGGCTTACTAGTTCCATTCCCCGAACGATTGGTTCATCACTTCTAGGGACGCGTACGCTTAGCATATTGTAGCTTTTACAACTGTCCAGTGCTGTAGTCGACGTGATCGTGCCGTGATATACCTTCTGGTTTCTTGAGAAGCTTGGCTTTGCATCCTAACCAAGAATTGCCATGGCTAGGACTCGAGCTCCACAGGCATTGCTAACGGCACTTCTTATTTTATCATGTAAATACGAAATGCGCTTTTAATTTTCTTCTGCATTTGATACAGAGAGTGTCACAGATATATCTCAAGCTTCCCACTCCACCGAAGAAATGTATCTAATGTTTCGTCACTCATGTCTTCCCTCTCGAGCTGCACGAACATCCTCGCCCTTCCGCCTGTTTCGTTTGAGCTGACTCACAATTCAAGAGTGCATTCGGCTATAGAGTGCGTTCTCGTATAATCAGCTGGACCATTTTCCAAATCCATTCCGCCCTTTCCCTGGCAGGTACCATCGCCATAGACGGCCAGAAGCTCGGCAAGCTGAAAAGTGAGTGTTTTTCTCCCAATATTTTGTCAATGAGCCGCGCAAACTATCCGCAAACTGCAGAACGACCAATCTCGTTGCGAATGCTTCCGGGATAATTCCATGTACAGCGAGCAGGGGAGGGAAGGCCAAATGCATGCTCATCACGCCTT